TCTGCTGCGTGTATTGCAGAGACCCCAGATGCCGCGGTCTATGCTCTCCCGTGAGAGAGACGGACGCTCCCACCAGGGGGAGCTGTGAGAAAAGTTACAGATTTTCTCTGGAAAAATCAAAATCAAAATCACCCTGGCTAGTCTATAGTAGGAATCGCCAAACTACCGCCCTGTGGGCCAGATCCAGCCCTCTGTCTGTATTTCGTTTTGCTTATTTTATTATATTTTATTGAGATGAAATTGACTTATAGCATTAGTTTCACGTGTACAATAGAATGATTGACATTTGGTATATGTTGCCAAATGATCACAACTCTAGTTAACATCCATAGTTACACGTGTTACAATATATAACAAAGATAACACACATAGTTACAATTTTTTTCTTGTGATGAGAACGTTTAAGATCCACTCTCTTAGCAACTTTCAAATGTACGATTCAGTATTGTTAACTATGGTCACCATGCCGCATGTTACATCCCCAAGACTTATTTTTTTATAACTGGAAGTTTCTGCCTTTTGACCCCCTTCACCCATTTTGCCCGCCCCCAACCCCCAGTGAGCCACTTCTTTAGACCTTTCCTGACCCTAAACCCCAAGTGACACCAAACCTCCTAATTTCAAATTCATGTGCCTGACATGCAGTAGATGGAGAAAGGTTTATTGGAATAGGCCCAAATGAGAAGGCGGGAGGATAGGTTCTCTCACATCTGCCTTCATAAGAGAAGAAAGCCAGGGGTTTTACAGAGCTAAGGGGTTTGGCAGGGGGAGTTTTGGAGAAACAAATGGGTAATCCCTGTTTCTTTCATCCGGATAAGCCCTTGGGCAACTAGACTTCTGGGCATCAACCACAGTTGGGGGGCTGGTTATCTGGTGATCGTAACTTCCTCAAAGGTATTCATTTTCTTCTGCAAAACAAGCTGGTAAATCCTTGTGACCCTTGAGTCACCTCTCAGGTTAAACAAGAAACAGCAAATTAACACGATTAACTTCTCTTCGCCTTTGCCTGTGTTGGGAGCGAGGATGAAAGGCAGTCATGTTCTCACTGAATATTTACAGTAACCCTCAGGTACCCAGCTTCACAAGCAGAGGTCCAAAACGTTCTTCTTTGGTTGATCTTGAAGGTCATTGTGACCATAGAATACTGGTGATCAGGCCACGGGGACGTGCCAAGAGAAGAATTCTTGGGTTTGCAGCAATAGCTTGGAAACTGTCACGAGGAAATCAATTTTGAGTGCTGTACAACTCAGGTTTCTGAAGACACAGATTACCACCAAGAGTTATGGATCCGGAGAGAGGTGAATTTGTTTTAAGAAACAAGAGAGCATAATAAAAGAGGGGTGTTGAAATTCCTCACGTGACCAATCCATTGAATATGTTGAACAAGCTTTATCAACTTTTCAATCATCAAATTACTGTTCTATCTTTTTAATGTTCCCGACTATAATGAATTGCTTTTAATCACAAAAGCGTGTAGTAAGAGCATAAGATACATTTAGATACATTTAGTAGTACACTCAGTGTAGAATTGGTCTACCAGCACTATCTAGAACTTTCTGTGATGGTAGAAATGTTCTGCATCTGGGTTGTCCAATATGGTGGCCACTAGCCACATGTGGCTCTTGAGCTTTTTTTTTTTTTTTTTTTTGCTGAGGAAGATTTGCCCTGAGCTAACATCTATGCCACTCTTCTTCTATTTTGTATGTGGGTTGTTGCCACAGCATGGCCACCAATGAGTGATGTAGGTTTGCACCCGGGAACCGAACCCAGGCCAACCAAGTGGAGCACGCCAAACTTAACCACTAGACCACGGGGCCGGGCCCCTCTTGAGCCTTTGAAATATTGTTTCTGTGATTGAGGAACTGAAATTTAAATTAAATTTATTTTTATTTTTAATCATGGTAAAATAACATAACATTAAATTTACCTTCTCAACTATTTTAAAGTGTACAGTTCCAACTTTTATTTAATTTTGATTAATTACAATTTAAATCTCAACACCCACATGGGCCAGTGGCTACCATATTGGACACAGTAGATTTCCAATTTTTTCCCAGACCTAACATATCATCTGCTCCATACCTGACTCATCAATCTTTTTGAGTCAGCTGTACTTTGAGACTTAGAAACAGTGATCTTTTTGCCCTTGTATTGCATTGGTGGATGTAATCATTTAATTAAATCAGATTGTTAGAGTAACATAGTTTGGGAAATAAAGAGCTTACCCCCAGCAAGCATGCAGCTCATCCCATGTGCGATAGACTCATGTGTGGTTCAGACCAATCTTACAAGGGTCCCGTATGACCCGGGGGCCACCAGCAAGCTTTACGGGGCACAGAACCCGAGTTGGTGGGTGTGTTAGTTAATTGGGTGAATTGGTGGTTGGCCGAGAGCTCCCACTGTTCTGGTCCCTTCAGACAAGATGCCTCTTGAGGTGGATGTGGCTGCCCCAGCGGCAGATCCTGGACCCAGCCCCAAGTGCTTGGGGTCCGACTCCCTGTGCCCAGCGAGGTGATCGAGGATGTACAGGTGACCCACACCGCCAGGTGAGTCCCTCCTTCCCCATTTTCCTATGTGGGCCCCTGGGCTCTTTTCCAGAGTCACCCTCAGCTTCAGTACATTTGGCTTTGGGGGTCGGGGAGTCATTTGGGGTCAGCTGGGTTGGGGTAGCTGGATTTTGCTAAATCAGGCTTTCTCTTTCTGTCATTGCCGCCTCTGTGCAATCCCCATGTCTATTGTCACATTTGGATGTGTGCGGTGGCCTGGAATAAACTCCCTCCCTCTGCTTGGGGGAGGGGATCCTCAGCTACCCAGAGAGTGTGGTCAACGCTCACGGCCACGGCTCTGTGAGCATGACCACAGGGGAGGGGCAGCGAGGAATGTGAGTCCCTGCTGTTATCTTACCTGGGGCAGGTGAGAGAAAGGTAAGACAAGGGCTGCAGAGGGATTATAGTGGGAGACGGTTTCTGCTTTTGTTGCCTGTGTAGGACTCATTAGGAAGCAGAGGGGAGGGACCCGGCTTGCAAAACATTTATTTTGGGAGTGCTCTTAGGATGGACATGGGTGGAAGCGGGGAAAGCAAGACGGGGGAGAGTCCAGCTGCCCCCAGGGAAGGCCGGTGGCTGGGACAGCCTCTCAGAGTTGTCCTGAGCTGGGGTAATGGGATGGGGACTTTGTGTCCCCAGGCTGATGGGGCTGCCCGGGGAAGGCACTGTGACCCTAGACAAAGCATAGTTATTCAGCGGAGGCTGACTGATTGGGAGGGAAGGATGGCCGAGGTCCACTCTGGCAGTGTTCCCAGAAGCTGGGGAGCGTGTCCCTCATCCCCGAAGGACACCTGGGTGAGCACTGCAGCGTCCCCCTCTTCCTCTCGGAGCCTCATTTGAGAGACCTGTGGACGGCTTTCTCCTGACTGGATTTACTTTTCTGTAGGGAGACTGTGAGTGTGTGTGTGTGAGTGTGTGTCTCACGCATGAGGGTTCGTGTGAGTGTGAGCATGTGTGTGCATGTATTGGAGATTGTCTGAGGGTGTGTGCAATTGTGAGTGTGAATGCATATGTGTGTGAAACTAGAAATGAAACTGTGTGTCTATGTAAACGGGTGTGTGAGTGCACATGCATGTGAGTGGATGTGTGTGCAATTGTGTGTCTGCATGATGGTGCATGTGAATGCGTGTGTGATTGTCAGCACATGTGTGTGTGTGTGAGAGTATGTGTATGTAATTGTGTGTCTGTATGAGGGTATGCATGAGTGTGTGTGTGAGTGTGTGTATATATGCAATTTTGTGTCTGTATGAAGGCACGTGAGTGTGTGCGTGGGTGTGGTTGTGGGAGGATGTGTGTGAACATCATCAGTGTGAAGGCACATGACATATACGCATGTGAGTGTGTGAACAGGTGTGAGAGTGTGTATGTGGTTGTGTGTCCCTAAGAAGGTGTGTTTGAGTGTGTGAATGTGAGTGTACATATGAGCGTGTGCCTGAATATGGGTGAGCGCGAGTGTGCATGTAACTCGCATGTATTTGTCCAGGACTAGCAAAGTGGTTCGACAGTCACTAGGGACCCAGGCTCCGTCCCTCTTGTTGCTCTGCCTCCTTCACCGTCAGCTGCTCTAGATCCCAGCATTCCACTAGGGAAAGGGGCTGCCATCTCCTTTCCTGTAAGGGCACGACCCTAAAGTGGCCCCCATCACTTATGTCCACATCCCATGGGTCAGGATTTAGCCAGATGGCCACAGGTAACAACAAGAGGATCTAGGAAATATCATCTTCAGGTGAGAGGTCTGGAGAAAAAGTGGCAGAATAGATGTTGGTGGACGCTGGCTCTCCCAGCCACAGCTGCCCCAGTGCTCTTGGAGTGGACACGGGTCTGCCACAGATGTGAACTACCCAGTAGGCTCCAGAGACAATGAAACACTCTTTATCCTTTTCTCTTGGCAGAGCAGAATATTCAGTTAATAAATATTTATCGAACACCCATCTGTGCCCTTCCAAGGATACAGCAATGAGCAAAACAGATATAGAGAAGGGGAGGCAGATTGAAGACGCATACCGTGGGGCACCATGATAGCAAGTGTGAGATCAAGGCTGGCATCCGCCCATCCTTTGCATCTCAGCTCAAGGAACCTCTCCCAACCTCCCTGCCTAGGTCTGATCCCTCGTCAAACCCTCTCGACCCACCGTGGGTCTCTCTGCACAGTTGTAAGTTTGCATTTGTCTGCACGATTCTAGATCTCCCTGCTGTCCCCCTGAGCAGGCTTTGAGGATTTTGCTCATCTTTGTGTCCCAGCATCTAGCACAATGCCCGACATAAAGGTGTGGCTCCATATAAATTTTATGAACATGTGCAGAAGTTTAATGCATGCACACATGCATGCATGAATGAACAAATAAGTGAAAAGTGAATAGCAATCCGCCTGCCGCAGAAGCAGTTTCCTCCAGGGGTGGGGGTGGGGTGGAGAGGCAGAGACAGCCAGTGATGTCACAAGAGGTGGTTGGGATGGAAGGTTCTGGAAGGGCTGTCGGGGAGGGAGACTGCCACCTTCCTACTTCTTATCACCACCACCATCCTGGCTTCCCCAGACGGTGACAAGGGCTGGGAAGGGGAAGCGCATGTTCAGGTCTCCGGGAGGGGCGACCTGATTATCATCTTTGCGGGAGAAGAAAGCACCACGAGCGCCCAGATGTCTCAGCAGTCAATGCTTTGCTGTGATGGCCAGAACCACACCTTGTGAAGAGTGGCAGGTGCCAGTGGCATGGGAGAGGGGCATGTGGGAGTCCTTTGGGATTTAGCATCTGTCACCCAGCAGCATATCTCATTAGGACTTGGTCTCACCACAGACACACATTTTGGCCTTGAGCTAGACCCTCCGTATCTTTTTCTATTGCATCTGCTCATTGGTTGCTGCTGGTGTACCGGAAAGCTATTGATTTTTGAATATTGATCTTTTGTCCATTCACCTTACGGCACTGCTTAATCTCTAACAGCTTTTCAGGTCATTGGATAGTCTAGGTACCCAATCATATTTGCAAAATGATAGTGTTGTCTGTTTCCAATCTTGCTTCCTCTCCTTTCTTTTTCTTGTCTTATTGCATTAGCTAAGAACTTCCAGCTTAAAGCTGAACGGCAGCAGTGAGAGCTGACGTCTTTGTCTCGTTCCTGACTTCATGGAAATTCTTTCAGTGCTTTTGTCACTATTAATGAGTATAATATTGATCACACAATTCTGGTAGATATCCTTTATCAAGTTAAGGAAATGTCTTTCATTTCTTATGTGCTAAGGAATTTTCATTAAAAATGGACATTTCATCAAATTCCATCTTGGGGAGATCATAGTTTTTCACCCTTGTCCCTTAAAGGCAGTAACTCACATTGATGGATTTTTAATGATGAGTGACTTTTGCATTCTTCTAATAAACCTTACATGGCCTTTTAAAATTGTGAACCACATCTTGCATATAAAGTAACACATGAAACAAAATCGGTACAATTTGACGGATAGCAATAAAATTCTGCATACCTACTTCATTTTATGAAATAGACTATGACTAGTAACTTACAAGTTGTTTATGTGTCCAAACTTTTTCTCTTATTCCTCCCTCACCTAAGAGAGGTAATTGCTATCCTGAATTTCCTGCAGAACTTTCTCTTATATTTTCACCACCTAAATGAGTACTAATTAATGTTGTCTGTTTGTAAACTTTATATAAGTAGAATCATACTGCAACCTGCTTCTTTATCAGCATCACGGCTGGCAGATGCATTCAAGTTTTTGTATATGTTCTTACATTTTCATCACTGCATAGTATTCCACATTGGATGTATCCATTCTCCTGTTGATGGACATTTGGGCTGCTTCCAGTGTGGGGTTCTTATGAACACTGCTGCTGTGGACATTCTTGTCCATGTCTCCTGGGGCAGAGGTGCAAGAGCTTCTCTTGCGAATATACCTAGAAGTGAAAATGCCAAGTTAGAGATATGCACCTCTTCACTTTTAATGATTAATGCCACACTGTTAACCAGGATGGTTTTAAAGAAAACCCCAGACAGCATGTTATTTCATGTGTAAATCCTTCAGCAACAAGGATTCTCTTCTTTAACTTAATCCCCAAACCATTATCATAGTTTAAAAAGCAGCCATCCTTTCTTCGTGCCATCTGAGAGGCAGTCAGTGTTCAAGTCCCCAGTTGCTCACAAACACCTTGTTTGCATTGGGATCCAGCTGGAATTCACATATTGAATGTGGTTGATGGGACCCACTCTTGACGGGGTCCCTCTGGCTTATGGGAGGGAACCCAGGTTCCAGGCATCTGAACCTGTCCAGATGAGCCATTGGTTTGAGACCTATTCTGAAGGCTGAGCTGATGGAATTTACTGATGGGCCAGATGTGTGGGAGAGAGAGAGAGAAAGAGAGAGAAGGAGAGGAGAGCAGGAGAGGGAGAAAGAGGGAGGTGGAGGGGGACAGAGAGGAAGGGAGGAAAGCAGAGACAGACAGAAGGAGGCAAGGGAGGAGGAAAAGAGCGAAAAGGGGGAGGAGAGGAGGGAGAGATGAAGCAAAGAAGGAAGGAAGCAAAAACGGATGTGTAGGTGGCTGGGTGGGTAGATGGATACATGAGCAGATGGAAGGATGGATGAATGAATGGATGGATGGGTGGATGGATGGTGGATGGGTGGATGGATGGTGGATGGATGGATGGATGGTTGGATAAGTGGATGGATGGATGGATGGAATGATGGGTGGATGGATGGGTGGATGGATGGTGATGGATGGTGGATGGATGGATGGTTGGATGGATGGATGGATGGATGGATGGATGGAAGGGAGGGAGACATGGAGGGATGAAGATGTGGGGAGTCAAAGGTGACTTAAGGGTGACCCCAAGGTTCTGGACCACATCCAGTAGCTCCAGCAGGACCTTGGGCCTTCTTCTAGTTTCTTCATTTGCGGGACACTTTGTGCATATCTTTACATGCAGGTTTGCATCTGTGTCCAGATCCGCTGTGTTTAGCTCCTTGCCATGTTCTGCTGATTGACTTAGTCTGTGCATATAAACTCCACGGAGACTCCTTCAAGTTCATTTTATAATGTGCCTTTCTGGTGACCTTTTTTCACTGAAATACAAAGCCAGTTTCTGCTAGTACATGGAGATAAAATTGACATATAACATTATATTAGTTTCAGATGTACATACAATGAGTTGATATACGTATATATTGCAAAATGATCACAATAAATCTAGCAAACATCCATCATCACACATAGTGACAAATTCTTTTTCTTATGATGAGAACTTTTAAGATTTACTCTCTTAGCAACTTTGAAATATGCGATACAGTATTATTAACTATAATCACCATGGGGACGTTACATCCCATGATTTATTTGTTATAACTGGAAGTTTCTATCTTTTGAAACTCTTCACCCATTTCACCCACTCCCACCCCAGCCTCTGGCAAACACCGATCTGTTCTCTGTATCTATGACTTCATGGGGTTTTTTTTTTTAGATTCCCCCTATAAGGGAGGTCATACAATATTTGTCTTTCTCTGTCTGACTTAGTTCACTTAGCATAATGCCCTCAAGGTCCATCCATGTTGTCACGAATGACAGAATTTCCTTCTTTTTCACAGCTGAATAATATTCCATTGTGTGTGTATATCTTCTTTATTCGTTCATCCATTCTTGGACACTTAGGTTGTTTCCATGTCTTGACTATTGTGAATAATAATGCAGTGAATACAGGTTGCAGATATCTTTTCAAATTAGTGTTTTCATTTCCTTCGGATAAATACCCAGAAGTGGAATTGCTGGATTGTATGGTGGTTCTATTTTTAATTTTTTGAGGATCCACCACACTGTTTCCACAGCGGCTGCACCAGTTTACATTCCCACCAACGGTGCACAAGGGTTCCCTTTTCCTCACATCCTCCTCAACGCTTATGATTTGTTGTCTTTTTGTTGATGGCCTTTCTGACAGGGGTGAGGTGCTATCTCACCATGGTTTGGATTTCTATTTCCTGATGATTAGAGATGTCGAACACCTTTTCACGTACCTCTTGGCCACCTGGATGTTTTCTTTGGAAAAATGTCTGTTCAGATCCTCTGCCTATTTTTTAATCGGACTGATGATATAGAGCAAGATTTACTCGGTTTTTCCCTTGTGCATTTGGGTTTTCATATTAAACAATCTCTAAGGCAAGCTGACCAGATGAGGACTCTCCTGTGAGGGCTTCCTTCCCTTGGGAAACTTCAAAATATTTTCTCACCCACAGGATCACGTATAGACTTGGCTCCTATATTCTAACAGTTTAGGAGACTCTTCTGGAAACTCACAGATTGAGTACCCTCTGGTCTTAACAATTGCTCTATTATGTGGCATACGAGCTGCTCTTTCCTTCTCCTAGGCCCAGGACAGACATGACTAGTCGATCCCAGGATTCTAGGCAGACATGACCAGTGCATGGGAGTTGGGCTCGCCCTGCAGCCCCTTCGTCAGGCCCGCTAAGTTCCCTGTCTGTGCCTTGCAGAGCTGTGAGGAATGGTCTCTGCAGGCCTGGAAGGGCTGAAACCCCTACGACTCAAGAAGAGGAGGCTGAGAACCTTGAAGCAGACATGAGTGACACAAAAGGTATCTTGTGGGAGAGAGAAAGGCAGGCTGACTCGGCCAAGGCTTTTCATAAGGGAGCCTGGGCCCGGGGAGTCGGGCCTCAGCCATTCCCTGCTCGGGCCCCTGGCCTTGGCCGAGCTGCCTGAACCTGGGGGGCCTGTTCCTGCACCTGATGGGAGTGGAGGCGGCACAGGCAAGCGGTTGACTGCTGGGCCACTTAGATCAGAGCAGAGCTCTCCCAGTCTCATGACAGCGGGGGAGTCACTTGCTCTTTTGAAGCCTCATTTGTGTCATTTGCACCAGGGGGGCATTGATACTTGGCCACAGCACCTCTTTATTAGGATGATGACCCCAGGGGGATGAAGCTCCCAGGGACCATATATGCATCGTGTACATGTAATTGTGTGCGTACATAGACACAATTTTATATATATTCATATATATATACATTGTGGTATGTAGACATGCAATTGTGTGTATATACATAGTGCAGATGTGATTGTGTATACATATACAATTGTGTGTGTATATACATTGTGTGTGTATATATACATTATGTGAACATATACAATTGTGTGTATATATACATTGTGTGTATATACAATTGTGTGTATATATACATTGTGTGTATATATATATATTGTGTGTATATATACAATTGTGTGTATATATATAATTGCGTGTATGTATACATTTTGTGTATATATATACAATTGTGTGTATATATACATTGTGTGTATATATATATTGTGTGTATATATACATTGTGTGTATACACACAATTGTGTGTATATATACAATTGTGTGTATGTATACATTGTGTGTATATATACATTGTGTGGATATACATAGTGCAAGTGTAATTATATCCATATATAGTACAGATTTAATAACATATATAGTGCAGACGTAATTGTATACATATAGAGAGTATAACATATATGGTGCAGATGGAGTAATAATTCATTGTCATTATTTTGTAAGCATTTTTCTGTTGTAACAAAACTCAAGGAGCATCATGTGATGGGAAATCGCCTCCATTCTCTTTCACAGCTGCCCTTTTCCAAGCGGATAAATGTTGGCGAGAATGACAACTTTTACAGTCACTCTCAAAGAGCAGTAGTTTTCAAAATCTCCTTTTGGTCATCGTTAGGTTCCTGGGGCTGCTGGAAGAAAGTCCCCAGCCTGAGCAGCTGGAACCTCGGGAACTGACTGCTTCCCAGCGCTGGGGGTCCCAAGTCCGAGGTGGAGGTGGGGCAGGATTGGATCCTTCTGGAGGCTGTGGACGTCCCAGAATCTATTCCACATCCCTCTCCCGGCTGCTGGTGGCTGCTAGTGATCCTTGGCGTTCCTGGGGTTACAAACTCCTCACTCCACTGTCGTCACGTGGCCGTCGTCTTTCTGTGTGTTTCTATGTCCTTTTCTTGTAAGGACACCCGTCACTGGATTTAGGGCCCACCCTCCACCCAGGATGATTTGACCTTGAGACCTTCAGCTGATTCCACTGGCAAAGACCCTATTTCCAGATAAGGTCACATTCTGAGATTCTGGACAGGAATTTTGGGGGAACACCATTCAACCCAGTACAGTCATTACAATGTCCCCAGCAGTATCCAGATGACGCCCCCCCACTTTTGTCCAATTTCAAGGTTTCCCCCTCCCCCACGCTTCAGGATGGACTGCTGGAGCCATAGGGCGGGGAAGCCACGATGGTTAATTCCCTCGATGACGTTCTCCTCATGTGGTCCCCATCCCCAGAGGGTGGTTTTGTCATAAGCTGGCATTCGCTCCACGGCGAATGCTCCTTGTGGAGGGGGTTAATGGGGGAACTTGATGAACCAGCTGCCCTTGAGGTGATTTGTTATGAGTTGAATTGTGTCCCCTGCTGTGGCCTGGACGTTTGTGTTCCTCCCCAAATTCATATGTTGAAACTTAGCTCCCAGGTTGATGGTATCAGGGGGTGGGGCCTTTAGGGGGTGACTAGGTCATGAGGGTGGAGCCCTCATGAATGGAGTTAGTGCCCTTATAACAGAGACCCCAGAGAGCTCCCGAAACCCCCAAATGCATATGTTGCAGTCCTAACACCCAGGACCTCAGACCTGAAAAGTGTAAGTTTGGACACAGATGCCTGCACAGTGAGAACGCTGCGTGTAGGTGGAGGCAGAGTTCAGGGTGATGCTTCTGCAAGCTGAGGACCATCCACGATGGCCAGCAAACCGCCCGAAGCTGGAGGGGAGGCAAGGAACAGGCTCTCCCTCACAGCCTCAGGAGGAACCAACTTGGGTGACTCCTCGACCTCAGACTTTTCCTCTCCAGAACTGCAAGGGAATAAATTTCTGTTGTTTCAGGCGCCCAGTCTGGGATGCTTTGTTACAGCAGCCCCAGCTGACTGATACATAGTTCATGGTTTTTTTGCCCAGTGTCTATTGATGACTATCCTCAGCATCTGCCTTTGTGCATCCATCTCCAGGGTCTTTCTACTGGCTTCTAGCCAACATCCTTTTCTTTCTTTCTTTTTTTTTTTTTTGTGGAAGACTAGCCCTGAGCTAACATCTGCTGCTAATCCTCCTCTTTTGGCTGAGGAAAACTGGCCCTGAGCTAACATCCGTGCCCATCCTCCTCTACTTTATATGTGGGATGCCTACCACAGCATGGCTTGCCAAGCGGTGCCATGTGCACACCCAGGATCCGAACCGGCGAACTCTGGGCTGCCGAAGCGGAACGTGCGCACTTAACCACTGCGCCACCGGGCCGGCCCCGCCAACAGCCCTTTCTTATGGCAGGAGAACGAGGCACAGCGAATCACACACTGGCTCTTAAATCTTCCACCTGAGAGTGACACACGTCAGTCATATTTCATGGCCAAAGCAGATGTAGTCCACTGCATATAAATTTTACCTTAAACAAAATAAAGCCTGTAAATTATATAGAACTCTAGTTAATGATTATATGCTAAAGGGTTTAAGGGTGAAATGGATGGATGGCCGCCACTTACTTTGAAATGCATCAAAAAATAAGATGTGGTGATGGGTGGATAAATAGAGGAATGGCTGCCTAGAGATTTGATAAAGCAAATACAGCAAAATGCTGGCAGGGGTGGGATCTCGGTGTGAGTTAGAGGGCATTCACTACACAGTCCTTTCAACTTTCTGGGATGCTTGGAATTTTCCATAATAAACTGTTGAGAGGGGTAAGGAAAAAATAAATGGGAAAGAGAAAGCTTGAAAGGGCCAGTGTTGACCTTGTGACTTCGCCCGAGGAGTAAGATTAATTGTTGACCTTGGCATTTGAGGTCCAAAAAGACAGCCCCTCCCCCAAAGTTATTAAATGAATAAAAACCTTTGCCACCCAACCCTGGTGACTGTTTGCAGTTACTCCCAGGCTGTGGACCAGTCATCGAGATGGAGAGGTCCTTCTCCGGATCTCCAAACACGGGCCAGGCCACGAGACCCCGATGACCATCCCTGAACTTTTTCGGGAGTCAGTCAGTCGCTTTGGGGCTTATCCAGCGCTCGCCTCAAAGAACAGCGAAGAGTGGGAAGTTCTGAATTTCAACCAGTACTATGAGGCTTGTCGGAAGGCTGCGAGAGCCCTGATCAAGGTAAACGAGTCATTCATTCATCCCTTCATGTGTCGTTTATTCAATCATTCATTCAGAGTAGGTAATACCTATACACACATACGGTACAAAATGTACAAACCACCACAAAATACGAAGGTTAATTGGGGAAAATTTTCTCTCCCATCCTTGACTCCTCCCTTCCAGAAGCAGCCACCATTGCCAGTTTTTTGTATGTCCTTTGGGAAAACAGATGATGTATATATAATTTTATATTTGCAATTTTTTACACACATGGTAGCATACTACACCCACAGTTCTGCATCTTGCTTTTTCCCCCCTTGGCATCGTCTCTCCATGTATTAGTTAGCTACTGCTGCATAACAAGTTACCCCCCAAACTTAGTGACTCCGAATGACACACATTTATTATCTCACAGTTTCTGTGGGTCAGGAATCCAGGAACAGCGTCATTGGATGTTTCTGGTTCAGGATCTCTCAGGAGGTTGTGGTCAAGCTGTCAGCCCGGGCGGCGTCATCTGAAGCTTGACAGGGGCTGGAGGGTCCACTGCCAAGCTTACTACTTACACGGCTGGCTGTCAGTGGGCGCCCTCAGCTCCTTGCCCATTGGTCTTCTCCATAGGGTTGCTTGAGTGTCCTCGTAATATGGCTGCCAGCTTCTCCCAGAATGAGTGATCCCAAAGGGAGAGTGAACATATTTTATTGGTTAAACAGACCGACCTTGATACAATGTGGGAGGCAACTATACAAGGACACAAATACCAGGAGAGGAGAGTCACTGGGGGCCATCTCGGCTGGGATCCTTCCATACTGATTCATTAAAAAAAAAAATCCATATTTTTTTCAACAACTGCAAATATGTGTGCAACAGTTGACTTGACCAGCCCCCGTGGGTGGGCATTTCAGTCACTTCCAACCTTTTGCTACCATACGTGGTGTCACAGTGAACTTCCTTCATAGGATAATTTCTTGCAAAGATGGTGCCTTTATAGGCCCACTCACGATGTAAGAGAGAATTTGCTTACTTCTATTCTTGCCAACAATCTATTATCAAAAATGTTCATCTCGGCCAATTTGATAGGCATTTTAGGCAGAATTCTAAGATGACCCCCTGGATTTCCGACCCTTGGTATACTCATGCTGTATAATCTCCCTCCCTTGAGTATGGGCAGGACTTGTGTCTATGACGGGATTTCCCACCTGTGGGAGCAAAAGTGAAGACATTGTGAAGATGGAATTAAGGTCCCTAATGAGTTGACTTTGAGTTCATCCAAAGGGCCAATGCTCTGGGTGGGCCTCACCTAATCAGGCGAACCATTAAAAGCGAGATTCTCCTCCTGGCCTTGAGGAAGCCAGCTGCCATGTTGTGGAGAGGGCCATGTGGCAGGGGATGGCAGACAGCCTCTGGGAGTTGAGAGCCGTCCCCAGCTGACAGCAAGAAAACAGGATCTCAGTCATCGAACCACAAGGAAGTGAATTCCACAAACGACATGCAAGTGTGGGTGGGAGATGACCCCCAAGCTTCAGAGGAGACCACAGCCCACTGATGCCATGATTGCAGCTTTGGGAGGTCCTAGGCCAGAAGACCCAGCTAAGCTGCCCCCAGACTCCTGGCCTATGGAAACTGGGGTCATAAATGTGTGTTGTTTTAATCTGCTAAATTGATGGTGATGTGTTATGCAGCAACAGATAATAAATATCGTAGGTCTCTCTTATTGTAAAAGGGTATCTCCTGGTGGTTTTTATTTATAGGAAATCCTGTCACTTATTGACCCAGACCTGAGTTCCTCTCTCCCTCTGATGCCCATGTGTCTTCATCAAGTGACTGTGAGGGGTGCCAATTAAGAACCATCTGCTTGGGCTGGGTTTCTTCTTGGCTGCCCCACCTCAATGCTGTGGTTAGCTCACCTCTCCTGAAAGATGATCCTCCTTAGCTATGCCCTAAGTTCTGGAGTCCAAGGACCCCTGTTCTCCTAAATCTAAGGGGTCCAATCATAAAGAAATCAGTTTATCTACACATTAACAGAGACACCGTGTCTACACTGAAGATAGCCTTTTTGTCACTAAGTAGAAACACTTGGCATCACATTCTGAAGCACTGGCAGGAAGATACCCAAATGCTTCTGCTTTCCCCAAGAACTGGGGGTCATCGCCAGCCTTGCCTCATACGACTAAAAGAGCCAGCAAAGATGGAGTTATCCAGAACCCCTCCAGGGATGGTCCCCTTCCTGTCCAGGTTTCCTGGGTCATCCTCAACCACGTTCAGATCAAGGCTTCCCCTTTAAAAATGCAATTTATCACCACTATGGAATATCACTCTGTGAGTACTTTTGTTATGAAGAATAAAAATAAATTCACACCCATTAGGATGGCTAGTATTTACCAAAAATATAACAATCCAGAAAATGGCAAGTGTTGGTGAGGATGTGGAGAAACTGAAAGCCTTGTGCGCTCTTGGTGGGAATGTAGCTTGGTGCCGCCATTGTGGAAGACACTATGGTGGTTCTTCCAGAAATTAAACAGAGAATTCCCATAGGATCCAGCAGTCCCACTTCTGGGTACATAACCAAGAGAACTCAAAGCAAGGACCCAAACAGGTACTTCTACATGCACACTCATAGCAGCATCATTCACAACAGCCAAAAGGTGGGAGCAACCCGTGTGTCCATTGACAGATGATGGATAAACACAACGTGGTCCATCCATAAAATGGAGCATTATTCAGCCTTAAGACAGAATGAAATTTGGGTACATGCTACAACATGGATGAACCTGGGGGTCCTTATAGTAAGTGAAAGAAGCCATACACAAAAGGACCGTAAGATCCCACTCATAGGAGGTCCCTGTAGCAGCCACATCCACAGAGACAGAAAGTGGATTGGGGGGCCAGGGGCTGGGGGAGGGGTGGGAGTCAGTGTTTCATGGGGACAGAGCTTCAGTTTGGGGAGATGGAAAGTTCTGGATACGGATGGAGGGGATGGCTGCACAACAATGTGAATGTCCTTAATGCCCCTGAGCTGTGCACTTAAAAATGGTTAAAATGGCACAGTCATGCTATATATAGTTGACCACATTAAAAAATAAGGACAAATAAGTGAGGCGTGATGCAGGGGGAGGCGTAGCAGGCTCTCGACGGTCACAAAAATATCACACCCCAGATTTTAGGCTCAATACTGGCTTTTTCCTATGCATGGAGAAAACAACTGTGGAATCTGCTTCCATGCATCCCGATGAGCAGATCTTACCCGGAAGTAAGACACCTCTGTGTTTCCATTTGCTGTCCGTCTGTCTCTGTTTCTGCCTTCCCAGCTCGGCTTGGAGCGCTTCCACGGAGTCGGCATCCTGGGGTTCAACTCTGTCGAGTGGTTCGTTTCTTCCCTTGGTGCCATCTTAGCAGGGTAAGACCACGGGCTTGGTTCACTGTGAGTGTCGGCGGGCTGCCACTCAGTTCCCACTGAGATGTGAACGGGGGTTGAACACGCAGCCCCAGGAGAGCGGGCCAGACAGACACACAAGCCAGTCAACCTGCCAAGGGACCAGCATCTTGAAAATATAAGGTAGTTCTATAACTCAGTAAGAAAAAAAGATAAAAAGGTTGTCAATGGGCAAAAGACTTGAACAGAAATGTCACAAAGGACATAGCCAATAGGCACTTGAAAAGATACTCGACATCATTAGCCATAAGGGAAATGCAAATTAAAACCACAACAGAATGGGGGGCCGACCCAGTGGCGCAATGGTTAAGTGTGCACGTTCTGCTTTGGTGGCCCAGGGTTCACCGGTTCAGATCCCAGGTGTGGACATGGCACCACTTGGCAAGCCATGCTGTGGCAGGCGTCCCGCATATAAAGTAGAGGAAGATGGGCACAGATGTGAGCTCAGGGCCAGTTTTCCTCAGCAAAAAGAGGAGGATTGGCAGTAGTTAGCTCAGAGCTAATCTTCCTCAAAAAAAAGGAAAAAAACCCCCCACAATAGAATGGTAAAACGCAAGAACAAAAGACTGTGAATGAAGGCAACAGGTGGCCGAGTGTGGGGCGGGTGTGCAAATCCCACCCCTGGCATTGATTTGCCATGGGATCCTGAAAAAGGGACTTCCGTGCCCTGAGCCTCAGTTTCCTCATCTGTAAAATGGGGTCCTGGGAGGGTTCCATGATCTGACATCATAAGAGTTGCTGCTCTCGACACTTATCATTTTTGTTGTTTTCATCCAGTAAATTGTGGAAGGAAGTTGGTGCCAAGTCTCCCCCGCCCCCTGCTTTCCAGGTCATTCTCGCCTTAAGGGGTGTGTGTGTGTGTGTGTGTGTGTGTGTATGTGTGCACATGTGTGTGTTTTCTTTTCCCAGGGGCCTTTGTGTTGGCATTTATGCCACCAACTCCCCGGAGGCTTGTCAATACGTCATCACTCAGGCCAAAGTGAACATCCTGCTGGTTGAGAACGATGAGCAGCTACAGAAAATCCTTTCGGTAAACTCAGCGCTTCCTGCTAGTCACCCGGGGGGACCTCAGGGCTCTGCCCCAGTGGCTTTTCGCTCCCCTGTAGATGCTAACGATCAGGTGGGGTGGTGGAGCTTGCCCCACACATGGGGTCAGTAGGTGGCCCCCAGGACCACCTTGGTCCAGCCACCAAAGCTGCTTTTGGAGGGAGCCGGGTGGAATGGGGGAGACTCACTTCCAATTCATAGTAACTTCATTGCCCACCCAGCCTCCATTTAAAAAATGTGTTTATGTATTATTTTACATAAACAGCCCACTGTTTGCTATTTTTCTTTTATGAGTGTCGATATTTGGAGCCTTGCGACCCTTGTAATTTTCATTTCTTATCATTGCCATCCTTTCGGAAATGCTTTCATTTTTCTCTTCTATTTGTTTCCTAAATGCTACCATTTCCTGTTTCGCTTTTTTCTGGGGACGGGCTCTCTCTTGCCCGAGTGATGGTTCCCTTTGCTTTGTTTCGTTCTTCTTTTCCACCTGCTTTTACTTTGTTACGTTTTTAATTTTACTTGAGATGTTGGGTGGCAATTTTCCTTTGCTTTGTGTGCAGCAAAATTTGGTTCCTCTCTTACTCCTTATTAAAATTTCTTGTAGTATCTTTGTATGGATATTGTAGAAACGTTGTGTTTGAATGAACTGCAGTTTCCTGAATCAGCTTTTCACAGGAGGAACCTAAGGGGAGGGGCAAGGCTAGTGACCAGATTCATTGCAGAGCCCAAGGGCCACATTTCATCACTTCTGAGTTACACATTTCTCCACTTATAACGTCTCTGGAGTCAAGACGTGTCTTGCCATCAGTGGCATCCTCTGATCACTGTCAGCCATGTGTCCTCTCATATTTTAACGTTTCTGAAATTAGGGTACATTTTCCAGACTCAGTGAAATTCTAGCTAGACTCAGTGAAATAGAGCAGTGGGCCACCAGGCAGACCTCCTTTGATGCCTAATTCCTGAGCCGGTTCAGGAAGGACCAGCTTTCTGACGTGATGCTGCTGGAGTGTCCAATATTCATGTTGTACCCTGTTTGTTCTAAGTTCCTAGCAGAACACACTGAGGGTGATGGGTGATGGGTGGGGTCCTTCTTCTTGCCTTCAACGCTGATTTATGATTTGGGTTTTTCCACCATTAGAAAATGCCACTTACCCCATCCTTCCATCCCACTCCCACCTCGCTGCTATGGCTTTCTGACCAGATTCTGGTATATTTAGCCTCAGACGCATAAAGCAGTGTCTGAATTATTTCTGTCTTAATTTCACCCGCTTGCTGCTTGTGGGGGATTTGTTGTTCCAGTTGTGTGTATGGAAGGTTCAAAGCTGGGCTCCTGACACGGTCCCCCCGACACTGGATGTTCAGCTCCATTTGGAAGTCTTTGGTTCTGGGCGATACTCATGGCTCGGAACCCTCCAACTCGCCAGTGCTTCGCTTCCTCCTTTAGAATAAACCCCGGACTCCTTGCCCTTGCTTCCAAGTTGTGCTGACCTGGCCCTCACATCCTTTCCTCCCTCCTCCCTCGTCCCTCTCCCCTCCATCCCCCTTTCCAGCCATCCCAGACTTTTTAGATTCCTCAAACATCCCAAGATACTTCCTGCCCCAGGCTTTTTGGATGTCTGTTTCCTCTCTCTCTCTCTGGAAAACTCTCGTCCTGCTGTTACAAGCACTTCTGTCATCTTTTCTCTCCAATCTGTGCCAGAGACTTGATTATAATGAGAATTCCCATACTCCATGTTGGAAGTGACCTTTTCATTGGATTGGCCGGAAATTTCAGAGAGGCGCACTCCTCCTTCTGCATGAACAGGGCACAAGCATCCTGCAGACCTGGCCACCCGAACCTTACAGTTCTGGGTTTGGGTGGGGAGTTCTGAGCCTGTCCCGGTTCCAGCCCCCTTCACGGAGGATGTTTGTGGCCTGACTCCAACTAGAAGGTTAGCTGGATGCTGGCTGCACAACGCAAGGTGCTGGCTCAACAACTCTGTGTAGCAGAATCCCGCCTGGGACGTTGTCCCAGGGAGGCTGCCGTCTCCACCCACCTTCAGCTGTTGGAGGCTACTGGTACCGACCACAAAGAACTCAGTAAACCTAAAACCAGCTTGTTTCCTGTCGGTCAAGACAAAGACCCCTTTTAAGGGGTGGGCAGGGGAAAGAAAAGGGGCTGAGGTCGCCATGGGAGAGCTCAGGACGCACGTGCAGCTTCAGTCTTTCCCACGGCTGGGTTGCCATGAGGACCATGCAGAACTTTCTTTCAGATTCCGCAGAGCAGCCTGGAGACCCTAAAAGCCATCATCCAGTACAAGCTGCCAATGAAGGAGAGCAGCGCTAACAACCTGTACTCTGTAAGTTGGGGGGTTGACGGGGGGCGGGGCTCAAAGGGAAGTGGGCGGGGCCTCACGGGGAATTGGGTGGGGCCTCACAAAGGAAGTGGGTGTGGGCTCACAAGGGAAGTGGGCGGGGCCTCACGGGGGAGTGGGCGGAGCCTCTCAAGGGAAGTGGGCGGGGCCTCTCAAGCGAAGTGGGAGCTGAGCAAAGAGGAGGCAAGGCCTCAAAAGAGAAGTGGGCAGGGTTCTAAAGGAAGTGAATGATGAGCAAGGAAGCGGGCGTGGCCTTGTAAGGGACGTGGGCAGGGCCTTTAAGAGGCTTTTTTTTTTCTGGTATGGAGGGTCTAATTTTTGGGAAGGTGTCCAGTCTGGGTCTGATTTATGGGAAGGTGTCCATTCTGGTTATTTAGTGCTGTGTAATGAGCCACCTCAAAAATTGGTGGCATAAGACAACAACAATCATTTTATTGTAAATTTTTTCCAGAAAACTAGGGTAATAGAAAAAATACCGCATCATTGAAAATTAGGTGTGCTAAAACTCAAGACGTTAAGTTTAAATATTACTATTTATATCCAACCCAGAATTTATTATAAATTTGCTTTCCTGGCTTTAATAAATGCAAAGTCATCAATATTTTTATTAAAGCCATTAACCATTATTTAATATATGCAAATATCTAAATAGGGGTGCACATTTCTGCTATGGCTTGGACCAGCAACCCTGTTGGAGCCTGAATTTATTTAAAATTTTGATATCTCATTCATCGTGGATTGGTTTTGCTTTGATAGTGACTTCAAAAATATTGCGTTAAAATATTTCTCTTGATTACAAAGAGGCTTTTTTTTTGGATGGAGGGAGCATCCCCTTAAACTTTGCACTCGAAGCAAAGTCCGTGGTCCTCACTCTGGTCCCGACCCTGCAGCTGGGGCTCCTCTGGGACCTTTCTCTGGTACTCTTATGGTTTCTCCATGTGACCGCTCCAGCATGGTGACTTCAGGACCTCTGGATTTATTTGGTGGCTCAGATCTCCATAGACAACGTCTTGAAAGACAGAAAGAGCCAAGTGGAAGCTGTCTTGCCTTGAATGGCCCACTCCTAGAAGTCACACAACACAAGCTGGGCCAGGAGCCTTGGAAGGGACCAGGACAATCTCCTGTTAATTTCCACGAGATTAGACCCTCAAACCCATTATTCGAATCAGAAGATCTAAAATGTCATCAAGATTGCCCTCTGTGCAAGTGGCAGAAAAGGGGCCAATGGTCCTTTCTGGCTGACCAAAACACTCGCGAGCCTTCGCGCCTTTCAGCAAACATATGAAGATTAAGACCAGGATGACGACTAATTAAATAAGACAACTGATCAGAATTGCAGACTTTTTAGACATTTAAAGTGACCATCACAGCAACAACATCTTAAGTCTGGATAACTTAAAAATCTCCTTCGTTAGAAATAGCACGTACAGCAGAGTTTCTCCACCCCGTTGCTATGGATGTTTGGTGTGGGTAATTCTCTGTGGTGGGGGCCGTCCTGTGCCCTGTAGGATGTTATGCATCACCCCCGGTCTCTATCCACTAGATGCCTCTAGCACCCTCCCTCATTTGAAACCCCAAAATGTCCTCAGATATTGCCTATTGTCCCCTGGTGGGCAAAATCACCCCTGGTCGAGGACGATGACTCATAGGGGGCAGTTTTGTGGCATGGAATAGTACCTACTTCTGTGCAAGGGGGAGCAGAACCTAGTTTTAGGATTGCATTTCAGAATACACTTGTTAGAACTGAGAGAAAAAGAAAGCCTGAGAAAGGAAAATGTGAAGTTTTGGGGCTGGGGAGGCAGAAGACAGCCAGTTGGGCAGGTTTCCATGCCTGAGGTCAGACTCAAGACCAGCCCCAGATTTCCTGGAGAGGACTGGATTGAACCAGGTTGGGTCTGGTGTCTACCCAAACCAATCATTGTGGCCGTGGGAGGATGGGGTCTTGTGCAAGCCGTGAGGGGGCAGCCTTCAGGAGAAGGGCTAAGGGTGTCTGTCAGAGAAAGGACAGAGACACCCCCCGCAAAGGGCTTGTGTTTTGCAGGCAACACTGGCCATTTGTGGACGACCTTGAGTTCCCTCCATCTTGAAAACAACCTCATCCAGAACCTTCTTGGGTACTTGGTGGTAGGATTTTTATGGGTCCCGTGTGATACTCAGTTCATACAACCCAACAGCTGCTTTTGAGTCAACAATTAAGGGCACAGGCCCTGGATTCAGATCATCTTGGGTTCCTCTGTTTAATTGCTGTGTGACCTTAGACAAGTAACTTACTGCCTCTGAGCCTCAGCTCCTTCATGTACTATGTATTGGTTGTCCGTAAGACTGCCTTTGGTTGCAAATGACCAAAGCTTGATCCCAAATGGCTTAAGCAAAAAAAGGTAATTTGTTGGCGCATGTAACTATAACCCAGGGCGTGGATTTCAGACATGGCTGGAACCAGGGGCTCAAATAATGTGACCCAGGCTCCGTTTTGTCCTTTTGGATTCTCGGCTCCACTCCAGCCTCGCTTCCGCTCATAGTCCTGAGATGCTCCAGCAGCTCCTGGGGCTACATCTTGACTCGTTCAGATCCAGACATCGCTTGCAGCAAAAGCCCTCACCTTCATTGTGATTGGCCCACCTGAGGTCACGTGCCCAGCCCTGGTCCAAGCATCATGCCCCAGGCAGATGGCATCCTCTGCCTTAAACCAATCACGGTTGACCTCTGGAGCTGGGGGTGGAGTCGGCCCCCATCAATCTGGTAACTGAGAAGCTTGGGGTGCAGAGTGGAATCCGAGAAGGCAGAGATCAAATAATATCGACTCCACTCTTCTAAGCATCTTACGTGTAGCAACTCATTTACCACCTACGACAACCCAAGGAGTCGGGTCTTGGTACCGTTCCCATTTTACAAATGGGGAAACTGAGGCTCCGGGAGCTTAAGCTCCAGGAAGTGGAGGCACAGAAGCGAACATCCTGGGGCTTTTTGTAAGAGGAGCCGGCGGGGCTGGGGGCAGCCTGAGCCTTTCCTCTCACTGCGAATCATGCCTTAGGAGAAGCTGATGCGACAAGACCTGAGCGGGGAGAGGGAGCTCCCGGCGTGGAGGTCACCCCCGCGCCCCCTGAGTCCCCCGCTCTGCTCGTCTCTCTTCCCACAGTGGGATGACTTCATGGAGCTGGGCAGCAGCATCCCCGACTCCCAGCTGGACCGCATCATGGAGAGCCAGCGGGCCAATCAGTGCGCGGTGCTCATCTACACTTCTGGGACGGTGGGCCCTCCCAAGGGCGTCATGCTGAGCCACGACAATGTAAGCGCCGTCTCTGCCCGCGGTAGGAGCTATTTTTACAGATGAGCAAACTAAAGCCCAGAGAGGTTCAATTACTTGACCTAAGTCACACAGCCAACAGCATGGCGGAGCCAGGATTTGAAGCCAGGCAGGCTGGCTCCCCAGTCCCCATTTTTAACTACACTGTAGATCTATGTGGCTAACATAAAGATGTCCAAAAACGCGACACAAACATTTTAAAGCCAGTTGCAGAACAGGACGCAGGGCACAATACGATTTTTGCTAAAAATGGAAAAATGGCAGCAAGCGATGGGCATGTGTGCAAGTTCTAAAAGCAGAGAAGTGTCTGGCAGCACACGCACCTAACTGGCAATGGTGGCTCCCCTCTGTAAGTCAGACAGATTGCTAGCTTTTTGTTTGTTTGGTTTTTTTTGGTGAGGAAGATTGGCCCTGAGCTAACATCTGTTGCCAATCTTCCTCTTTTCTTGTATGTGGGACGCTGCCACAGCATGGCTTAATGAGCGGTGTGTAGGTCTGCACCCAGGATCTGAACCCGCAAACCCCACGCCGCCAAAGTGGAGCATACGAACTTAACCACTATGCCACTGGGCTGGCCCCCAGAATGATTGCTAGTTTTTAAATGAAGCATTTCTACCTCATAAGAGCTTTTCCTTGCAGCCTAGCTATTAATAGTTACCAGCAAATCCTGGCCTTTGCACTGGCTGTTCCCTCTGCATGGAATTCTCTTTCCCAGAGAGCCGCACGGCTTGCTCCTTCACCTCCTTGCTCAAATGTTACCTCCTCGGTGAAGCCCTCCCTGACTTCCACGTTTAAAATAGCAAACAATAAACCACCCCATCGGTCCCTATTCCCCTCCGGCTACTTTTCTCTTCCCTGGAATTTCTTACACTGACATATTATATAGTCACTCATTTATCGTGAACATCAGCTCCTTGAGGAGATGGCTGGTCTGTCTTGTCACTGCTGTCTCCAGTGTCTGGTGCGTGGGAGGACTCAGTCTACTTTTGTGGAATGAATGAATGACAGGAATCTGACTGACCCCACCCTGCCCTGGCCAGCGTTTACTGTCCAAGTGGCTTCCTGTCTGGTGACATAGTCTTCTAGCCTAGGGGCGACAAGCATAGAGTCTGGAGCGAGGCTGCCTACATCTGAATCCTGCCTCTCCCACTTGCTGGCTGTGTGACCTGCGACCAGTTCCCTAACTTCTCTGGGCCTCAGTTTCCCCTTCTGTAAAACGGAGACAAGAATGGTTTCTCCCTCTTAGAGTCGCTACCAAGGTTGTATTATTTCATATACTGTGTCAGGTAGCCATTGCCGCATAACAGAACATTCCAGAACTTAGCAACTTCAAACGCCGACAGTGTATTATTCTGGGTCTGGATTTGGGGGGGCTCAGGAGGGTGTTTCTTCTGCCCCCTGCAGCATCAGCAGGGGTCACTCTGCTGTATTCCAGCAGAAGGTCCAAGTGGGGCTTCCCTCACATGTCCCATGTGGCATGTAGTGAAACACATCCAACGTTAGTTATTATTATTATCATCATCGTTGTCGTCATCATCTTTACTGCAAGAAGTCAAAGCCAGTGCAGTGTCCTCAACATACACCAACTGGTCAGAGTTTCTCCCATTTATAGGGTCCTAACTCTGTGCCATGCTGAGATAAACACATGGCAACTCCCCACTCATTAACCCCCTTCACAGATGGGGAAACTGAGGCTCAGAGAGGGGATGTGACTTGCTCAAGGTCACAGAGCAAAGAAAGGCCTGAGCTGGGAGCTGAACCCAGGAGCGTGTACACCACCAGGTTGTGGTGGAGTGGCACCTGGAGAATCAAGTGGATGAAGGAGTCTCCAGCTTGGGTGGTGTGAGACAGCCTCTCGGAGGTGGCGGCATTTAAGCAGAAACTTAACATTCAAGAAGGAGTCAGTCACGGGGAGTGCTGGAGGAACAGCATGCCAGGCAGGGGGAACAGCCAGTGCAAAGGCCCTGAGGCTGGACTGGGCCTGATGAGTTGGAATAACAGTGGGGAGGCCCGTGTGGCTGGGTTAAAGAGGTAACTGTTCACCAGGGGTTATGACACCAGTGAGAACTACGGGCTGCAAGATTATAGATACACGAAAACTTTACGTCAAGGCATGCATTGGAGAAGGAAAAACATTAATATGCTAATTGTTGGGGGGGTTTACGTGACGGGGTCATGGGTGGGCTTTCTGTTTGTTGGCCCATGTTGGTTGCATAGTTTTATACTGGACGTGAGATGCTTCTGCACCCCTTTTACAGGAGAGAAAATCGAGGCTTTGAGAGATTTTTAAGCCCAGGGCCACCCAGCTAGCAAGCAGTGAAGTCAGGGTTTGGTTGTGGGGCGCTTCCCGAGGCCTTCAGATTTCTGATTTTCTGGGTAGATGTTCTGACCCTATGGTCTGTTGTTGGACCCACGGGGGTCTGTTTAGCCCCCCAAAGCTGCCCACTGGATTTTGAGCTCCTCCTCGCCTCGGGCAAATTAGTTAACTGCTCTGTGCTTCTGTTTCCCATCTGTGAATGAGGGAGAATGGTGATTACCAACCCCAGCGTGTTATGACGATGACTAAGCGACCTAATGTGTGTAAAGCAGTGCCCAGCACGTAGTAGGTGGTTTCTGAGTGTTTTTTTAAAGAATGGCGTTTACGTCGATGGCCCTCCGGCGAGGACGGGGGGCCCTGGATCGTCAGCCCGACTTGTGTTCTAGATCACGTGGACGGCCGGGGCGGCAGCAAGGGACAACCGCCTGTCTCACGCTGCAGAAAAGCAGGAGGTGGTGGTCAGCTACCTGCCCCTCAGCCACATTGCAGCTCAGATGATGGATATCTGGATTCCCATGAAGGTTGGGGCAGTCACGTACTTTGCTCAGCCGGACGCGCTCAAGGTGAGGCTGAGGGCAGAACTCGGGCTTCCTTCTCCGTCCTTGTCTCGTGCTCTACCATTTAGCAGCTCTGGAGACCGTTGACCTCAGTCTTTTAGCTTTTATCTTTATCTGAGTCAGGGCCTCCATGTGCGGTTGTAGAGATTGTACACTGAACAACCCAAGACTAAGATGTGAATGGTATTGAAAGCAGAATGTGTGTGTGTGTGTGTTTGTTTAGTTTTAAAACCAAAAACCAAACCATCTCAAGATTCTTAAGTTAATCACATCTGCAAAGTCCCTTTGGCCGTGAAAGGTCACATATTCATGGGTTCCAGGGGGTTAGGAAGTGCACATCTTTGTGGGGCCATGATTCTGCCTTCCACACTCTCCGTCAAGCAGGCTATGTCTCGAGGTCCTTGTGATTCCTTCTAGAAGGTTCATTCTCCTGTCCTTTGCCTGGCTGACTCCTCCTTGTCCTTTAGTTCTTGCTTAAATATCTCCCTGACCCCTCTCAGTCCTCTCATATCCCCATGCTCAGTATCTTGAGATATAGTAGTCACTCAACAAATACTTTTTTTTTTTTTTGGTGAGGAAGATTGTTGCTGAGCTAACATCTGTGCCAGTCTTCCTCTATTTTGTATGTGGGATGCCGCCACACATGGCTTGATGAGCGGTGCCTAGGTCCGTGCCTGGGATCCGAACTTGCAAACCCGGGGCCGCCAAAGCGGAGCACACGAACTTAACCACTACGCCACCAGGCTGGCCGCATGAAACTTTATTTTATGGTTGAATACCTAATGTAAACACACTCGTCTACGGGACCTGAGAAGTTTCAACCCTTCCACATCCTTATCAACCCCTAATAGGGTCAAAGTGTTTAAAATAATCAACCCGATGAGTGATAAAGCTGTCTTAACATTTTAAGAAACTGCCAGACTGTTTTCCAAAGGGGCTGCATCGTTTTGTATTCCCACTGGGAGTGTACGAGAGTTCCAGTTTCTCCTCCCCCTCAGTAATGTGTTATTACTGTTATGATTATTATTGCCGTCCTAGTGAGTGTGAATGCTATCCCGCCATTTTAAGTTGCATTTCCTTGAGGATTGAGGGTGTGAACAACTCTTAAATGTGCTTCTTGGCCGCTGCTGTATCTTCTTTGGAAAAATGTCTGTTCGACTCTTCGCCCATTTTAAAATTTGGTTGTCTGTCTTCTTCCTGCTGAGTTTTAAGTGTTCTTTATACATTATGAATATGAATCTTTTCTCAAATATGTGATTGGCAAATAATATCTCCCGGTTCTGTGTCTTGTCTTTTCATTCTAACTCTGATGAAGTCCAATTTGGTTTTTTTTTTTTCTTTCACGCTTTTGGTGTCACATATGAGAAATCTTTGCCTGCTCCAAGGTCACCGATGGCATCTTGTAGCAGGCTTTTAGTTTTAGCTTTATATTGAGGTCTGTGATTCCATTTTGAGTTTATTTTTGTGTTTGGTGATAAGTAAGGCTCTAAAAACTCATTTTTATTTTTAAATTTTTGGATATGGACATCCTTTCTTCCCTCGGATTGCCTTGGGCTTTTATTGACCGTTAATTGATTGCAAACGTAAAGATTCATCTCTGGATTTTCTATTCCATTCCATTGATCTATACATCCAAATTGCACTGACTTGATTTTCCTGGCTTTATGGTGGAATGACTATCTTGTCCCAGTTTGCCCAGGACTTTCCCAGTTTTATCACTGAAAATCCCACATTCCAGGAACTCCTCCAGTTCTGGGCAAACCAGGTCGGTTGATCGCCCTACTTAATAATGTTTCAAAATCAGTAAGTCCTCGGATTTTGTTCTTTTCCAAAATTGCTTTGGCTCTCCTAGGTCCTCTGCATTTCCATGTAAATTTTAAGATCCGTTTGTCGATATGTATGAGAAAGCCTGCCTGCCTTTTGATTCGGATTTCACTGATCCTGTAGATCAATTTGGGGGACAATCTTGCATCCTTTTTGACAGCTGCATAATATCCCACGGCACACTTGGGCTGCAGTTTTTTCCCAGTCTGTGCACTCCACCAAGTCCCCAGGGAGAGTGTGAAAATCTGATTGGCCACCGGCCAGCCAATCGGTTGGCTCCCTTGGGTCGGGAGCTCGCTCTGGTCCAATCAGCCAAGAGAAGGTCCTCCTGGGCTGGGTTGGGTGGCTGGGTAGAGATGGACATCTGGGGTCCACAGCAGGTGCAGGTGTGGCTAACCCAGCCCTGTCCCCTGCAGGGCACCTTGGTCAGCACTCTGCAAGAGGTCAAGCCGACAACCTTCCTGGGGGTGCCCCGAGTTTGGGAGAAGATGCAGGACAAGATAAAGGAAAGTGGTGCTAAATCCTCCAGCTTGAGGAAGAAGGTGTTTTCATGGGCAAGAGCGACTGGCTTAAAGGTCAACAAAAAAAGGATGCTTGGGTAGGTGTGGGGTCCAGCGGGGCCAGGCCGGGAGGGCGAGGGTAAGGGGCTCAGCCTTCTCTAGCTGGGTCCCGTCAGCCCCCTTTTGGCTCATGGCTGCGGCATTCTTGTTCACAGGCCATATGACATTCCCATGAGCTACCGCATGGCCAAGGCCCTCGTGTTCAGCAAAGTCCGGAGTGCCCTTGGCCTCGATCATTGCCACTCCTTTATCAGCGGGGCCGCGCCCCTCAGCCATGAGACCTCCGAGTTCTTTCTGAGCCTGGACATACCTATAGGCGAGATGTATGGTATGAGCGAGAGCTCAGGACCCCACACCACGTCCAACTATGATAACTACAGGGTTCTAAGGTACCGGCTTCCTGGGCAGACTCGGGTCCTCCAGCAACATGGGGTCGAGGGGATGAAGATGGGAGAGTGGGTGGGCCTCTGAGTAATGAATCCTGACTTGGTGTCCCCAGAATGGCCCTGTTCTCCAGCCTCTGAGCCCCAAGTCTTTATGACCACAGGAAGCCCCAGTTGTCAGAGCACCCGCAGTCAAGGGGAAGGGCTCTCCGGACGGTCCAAGGTCTGCCCGTGGTGGTCACTTGTGAGTTCCGCCTCCAGACGGCCCACCCCAGGCTCGCCCACCCCAGGTTCACCTCCTGGGACCTTGGGACCCTTCTCCACAATGCTCCATCTCAAAACACATTCACGGGCCCTTTCTGGCTTTCTCCCAAGCTCAGCTCAGCCCAGGCGGCAGGATTGAACCCAGTGATGCTCTAACAGTAAGAATATCGAAGGCAAGTTCCACTCCTAGTCTGAGAGCCGTGTCCTTCACAGAACCTTCTGGTGTGTCTCTCTCTGATGCCCTCCCTGCTGCGATATTGCAAGTTTGGCTTGAATTTAGCAAAAACAAAGTTCCATCTTCCTAATCTGGCAGAACCATCTCCTGCCTTTTTCTTTACCTACATGGGGAGTGTCACACCTCAGTAGCCCCCTCTCTCTATTCCACAATCCCATCTGGGTCTGCTTTCTGCAGAACCAAATGCCCCCTGGAGTTTTTCGAAAACCAAAGAGTGGTCCTTCCCTAAAGAGAAGCAACACTGCCCCAACCCTGGAGGAAAAGTACAGATTCCCGCCTCTCTCTCTCTCTAATTATTTTCCTTCGAGGAGGAATACATGCACATGTCAAAAAAAAATCAGAAGGTATAAAATGATCGGGGCTCCCTCCCTCCCACCCCAAACCTCCAGTTCGCTCCGGAAGACTTTGCCAGGCCTGCGTAACGGCGTTCCACGCACTCACACCACACACATCTATTTTCTCACGGTTCTGGTGACTCGAAGTCCCAGATCAAGGTGTCCGTGGGGCTGGTTCTTTCTGAAACCCATGAGGGAGACTCGGTTCCTTGCTTCTCTCTCAGCTTCCAGTGGTCCTTGGCCATCTTTGGGGGTCCTCGGCTTGTAGAAACATCACCTGATCTCTGCTTTCATCTTCACCTGGCATCTCCCTGTGTGCACGTCTGTGGCTAAATTTCCCCTTTTCATAAGGACACAGGTCATGCTGGATTGGGGACCATCCTACTCCAGTATGACTTCATCTTAATTTAATTAATTACATCTGCAATGACCCTATTTCCAAATAAGGTCATATTTGGAGGTACTGGGCATTAGGACTTGAACATACAAATTTGTAGGGGACAGAGTTCAACCCATAACGCCTTCTCAGAGGCAAAATGACCACAGCATGCTCTTTCGAGTTGGCCTGTCATGGGCAGTGCATTGACATATATACTTTTATCCCAAACAGAAGCATTTTCCCTGTAAAAATGGATACTCGGAACTATTACTTGCTATCTGGAGCTTAGGAACCGAATAAGCTCAGATAACATGGCATCCCTCACTACCTGGATTCATAATACAAACTTCCACTCAGTCTTGACTCACACCGTTCAAGCTCAGGAATCAAGAGCATTTGGTTAGCGAGGGATTTCTACCTTGTAGAGAATGTTCCGTATCAGTGCAAATGGCTGCTTCATTTTTAACAGCTGTGTAGTATTCCACTGGGTGGATGTACTATCATTTATTTAATTGGTCCCTTATTGGTGGATGTTGAGGGCTTTTTTCTCCATCACTCGTCACCACATCAATGCTAAAGGGAATGCTTTGTACATACACCATATATTTTGCTAAACCAATTGGTGAAAAATGGTATCTCAACACAACTTTCATTCACATTCCTTTTATTATGAATGAAGTTGGAAAAAAAAATCCTTTCATATGTTTAAAAGCCATTTGCATTTTCCTTTTTCTGAACTATCGGTCCATATCATCTGCCCATTTTTAAAACTGTATTAGTGGTCCCTTTATTATTGGTTTGTTGGCACTCCTTAAATATTAGGAAAATCAGCCCTTTGTCTTTGATAGGAGTTGCAAATATTTTACCCCTGGGTTTGTCATTGATATTTTGGTTTTAGTTAAAATGTTTCGTGTTTTTTTTTTTTGCTGCGCAGAATTTTTTTTATCTTTACATGGTCAAATTTATCAATCTTTTCTTTATGGCTTCTGGGATTTTCCACATTCCTAGAAAGGCCTTGAGTGGGGGACGTCCCAAGGAGGCTCTCTGTAAATTTTGAGCTTGTGGGGCATGCCTTCTTTTTTCTCTTGCTAACGAAGGGAATCCGTACACTTCAGCCTAAAACCATTGGCCCTTCTTACCACCAGTGAAAGAGATCTCAGCCAAGCAATAAGGAAATACTTTCCTAAAACCATGCTCCCAAAGCTTACCTCTAGGAAAAGGTGTCTGAATGAGAATCCAGATTCCAGAGAGTTCTAGTCTGTCTTGTGGAAGGAACTTTAACCTCGAAAGAGATTCCAGTTGGTTGTCTTCCTTGAAATCGGCTGTCCTGGTCACCCGGAGAGGGTGAAAGAACCAGATCCAGCTTGGGCTGTGGACCCAGGCTGACCAGGGTGGGTGACGTCAGCTCTCTGGGCCTCAGTTTCCCCCTCCCGTTCTCTGGCAGCTGCGGCAAGATCATGAGTGGGTGCAAGAACATGCTGTACCAGCAGAGCAAGGACAGCACAGGGGAGATCTGCATGTGGGGCCGGCACGTCTTCATGGGTTACCTCGAAAAGGAGGAGGCCACCCTGGAGGTGCTCGACGAGGAAGGATGGCTGCACACCGGGGACCTCGGCCACATGGACAACGAGGGTTTCCTCTATATCACCGGTCGCATCAAAGGTACGGGGGCTGGGCTCTGCCTGCAGGGGCCTCCTGGACATTTAAGGGCCTGGCACGTCAGCACAAACGAAGACCACCCAGCCCCCTGCTTCCCGTGAGGGGCCTCACACGACGTACAGGGACACCCCAGTCCTCATAGTCCAGCTCTGCCTTGTGCCTGGCACTTGGCCCTCGGCAGGATGGACCTGGGAAAGCGCCCACACCAGGCTTGAAACCTGCTCCCTCCCTTGTCCTTTGGGAATGATAACCTACAGAGTTCTGACACTTAAATGAGGATTAAATGAAATGATGGAGAACAGGAATTGGCCGACTTTTCCTGTAAAGGGCCCGAGAGTAAATATTTTTGGATGTGTAGGATGTATGGTCCCTCTTGCAGCCGTGGTAATGCAAAAGCGGCCGCAGACAATACATGGATGAAAGGACGTGGCCACGTGCCATTGTGAATGCCATATCATTTTCAGGTGTCACAAATATTCTTCTTCTTTGGATTTCCTTCCAACCATTTAAAAACATAAAAACCATTCTTTGGGCCATACAAAGACAGGTGGAAGAGATTACCGACTCCGGATACATAGGGAGAGAGCATTTGGCAGTGCGCCTGCCAGAAGTAGTAACTGTTCAATAAGTGGGCTATGTTAGCATTATCTTGATTATAAGCAACAGAAAGCCCTTCTTAAACAGGTTTGAGTGAAAAAGGGAGGCTGCTGGCTTAAAAACAGAGAAGTCCAAAAGGTCTCGCTTCAGGCATGGCTGGATCCAGGTGCCAAAATGATGTCACAAGGAGTCTCTTTATCCTTTTCTTGCTGAGCTCTCCTCTGTGTTGGGGCCATTCTTGAAGAGGCTTTTCCCATTTGCTGCCAACAGTCTAGGCTCACCCTAATGCCTGAGGGACAAGAGTATGTTATTCCCCATAGTTTCAGCAAAAGTTTTAGTCCTGACTCTCACTGGGTCCCATCTCAGAACAAAGCAGCGTAAGAGGATGGAATATGCTGATTGGTCAGACCTGGTCACATGGGCTCCCCCCACAGTCCACCCCACCAACACCCCATGTTAAAGATGGAAGGCAGTTCCCTAAAGAAACGTCAGGTGTGGTGACTCCAAGGCAGAGACCCTGGGCAGACAACACCATGGGTGCCCGTTATAAGATGGGATTGGTTATCACTATTGCCATTGAGACCTCAGATCACGGGATGGCATGCAGAGTTTGAGTGGGCGGGACAGGAAGCCTCAAGCAACCCAGGATGAAAGAGCCCTTGGGGAATTCGAGAGGCTGGGGGGGAGAGAATGACACAATTCTCCTAGAGATGCTACACGCGCCCCTGGGGAAAGCTGGACTTAGTTTCTTTGCGAGTTGCCGAGTGATGGAAAAAGTAGCAGAGAGTGCGTGGCCAGACGCGTTCACTATCTTCCCAGCAAGACGGATCAGAGGGCCTGGAACAGGGTATGGGGGACCGAGAAGTGGGCGGTGAGCCATTGAGCCGCTGTCCAGGTGGAATGCACAGGACTTGGACCCCGGACGGGAGGCTGAAGACGGGGGACGAGGGGCAGAGGGACTTGGGGTCTGTGGCTTGGAGAAGGGCCTGGTGAGTCCCAGCCCCGGGCAGGGGTGGTCTTCTGCTTCTGGGGTTTCTCTAGGTGGGGGGTCGTCGGTGCCATCATCTGTGTCTGCTGATCCCCGAGAGGGCAGGGGTTTCGTATTGTCATGGTTGAACCCACACTGCGCCACGCTCTGTTCCAGAAATCCTCATCACGGCTGGCGGCGAGAACGTGGCCCCCATTCCCATCGAGAACCTGGTCAAGGAGAAGATCCCCATCGTCAGCCACGCCATGTTGGTGGGGGACAAGGCAAGGTTCTTGAGCATCCTGCTGACGCTGAAGGTAACGTGGGTTTGCGTCCCGCGGGGAGTGTCTGCCCAGGGGCTCCGAGCCCCGTGTCCCGGTCCGCAGGGCTGGCCGGGGTGTGTGTGTGGGTGCCGGGTGTGGTGACAGGGGTGTCCTGGGGCAGTGCGAGGTGGACGGGACGAGCGGAGAGCCGCTGGACAGACTGAGCGGGGAGGCGATCAAGTTCTGCCAGAACCTGGGCAGCCAGGCGTCCACCGTGACCGAGGTCCTGGAGCTGCGCGACCCACTGGTCTACAAGGCCATCCAGCAAGGGATCGATGCCGTGAACCAGGAGGCCGTCTCCAACGCACAGAAGATTCAGAAGTGGGTCATCCTGGCCAGGGACTTCTCCATCAGTGGCGGAGAGCTGGGTGAGTGGCCTGGAGAGCCGGTGGCCTTGGCACGGGGAGGCTGGTCCCTTGCTAGTGGGACCAGCCGGGAACTGGGAGAGGGACGCTGCCCCCTCCAGCTAACTGGTGCCCATACCCCCCACCCCGGACCACACACACACACACAAACTCAACACACGTACAGTCCCTTCTCCCCAGGGCAACCACACCTCCCACCTCTGGGAATAAAACTTAACTTCTGAGTATGGCTCTACATCCTCTCTCTCCTGCTGGACTCTCCTGCTCGCTTGCTGTGCACCAACTGCACGGGCCTCCCTGCTGTTCCCACAACTCTCCTGGCACAGTCCTGCCTCAGGGCCTTTGCACCTGCTGTTCAGGACACCTTGAGGGAAGCCCAAATCCTGGGTGACTCGGAGCCGATGGAGCATCCGGGGCCATGGATCAGACCATTCCAGAGCTCGAATCTTCACGCCGCCATGCACTCGCTGGGTGACCTGAGAGTGACTGGCCCTCTGTGTAAAAACACCTGTCTCCTCACCTGTAAGATTGGGGGGTGCAGTCCCTCTTTCATTGGAAGCACTGTCCATATGGGGCACAGAGCTCAGTGTACTGTCCACCCACCAGCTCACGGAATCCCTGCCACAGCCCGAGGACAAGGTGGGGGCTCTGATGGCACGCCCAGCAAGTCGACGGCAGAGCCGGCCACCGGCCCAGCCTCTGCCACGGGACCCGGTTGCCCGGTCACACCCACGGCATGTGGACTGGTTTCTCCTTTCTCAATAGGTCCGACGACAAAGATTAGGCGACACTACATAAGTGAGAAATACAAAAGGCAAATCGACAACTTGTACCACTGACTTCTTTGGCGGAGCCACTCTTGGCTGTCCCGACGGTGAGACTGGCTTTGCTGGGCTGTGCCTGGAACGGGTCCCGCAGGCGTGGTCTCCCCTGTGTGGCGGGCGGTCCTGTGAGCAGAACCGCAGGGGCCATGCGCGCGCACACAAATGCATTCGGTGGCTGTGGACGCTGGTGGGTGGCCCGCCTCGGCTCACGCTCTGTCTCCGGGGTCAGGCAGGGCATGCAGACTCCTTCGCGGCTGGCCGCCAACGTTGCTGGCTGTTCTTCCTGCCTTTTCTTCTCATCTCAGAGAGGGAGCAGAGCCGTGTTCCCACCCAGGACCAGGATTTGTCATTAAGCGCCCAAAGGTTGCATTGTGGCTTCTTTGGGCAAGGCCTTCTGTTGGAAACTGGTGGGGAAGTTCTGCCTGCCAGGAACCCAGGGAAAAATGCCTTCTACTCACCCCTTTTCCTCTCCTTTCCCCCAAGTCTTGTCCATAGGGAGCCCCCATGACGCCAGGAGTCACTGACAGGGTGTTGGGAACCCATCGAGATGCGCGGTGCAGGCAGAGTAGAACGCATCTTCAGTTGTCCCAAGGGGCACCTGTAACCCTTTCAAGGTCAGATCCTTCTCTCCTGACGCCCCCAGCCATTCCACCGCATGCATTTACTAGGGCTCCTGGAACAAGGTACCACAGACTGAGGGGCTTAAACACCAGGGGGTAATTTTGTCCTGGTTCTGGAGGCTGCAAGTCTGAGATCAAGGTGTCGGCTAGGTAGGTTTGGTGGACGGGTAGCTTCTCTGTGTGTCTCTGCGTCCGAATTTCCCCTTTTTATAAGGACACCAGTCATCCTGGAATAAAGCCCACTCTAACGACCTCATTTTAACTTAATCACCTCTGTAAAGACCCCATCTCCAAATAGAGTCACATTCTGAGGTCCTGGGGGCTACGACTTCAACATAGGAATTTTTTTGGGGGGGAGGTGGACATAATTCAGCCCCCACCACCACCACATCTATTTTCTTTTCTTCGCTGTTAACTGGTTGAACTCGTGCACGCCTTCATTTGTCAGCGTCTTGTGGGCGAGCCCCGCAGGCGAACACGTCACATTCATCATTCCGCATCTTTTGCAAGATTTCCGATTTCACTTTGCAGTTGGGTAGGAGATGAGCCGGCGTTGATGCAGGGGTGGGCGATGGACCCTCTATACCTGTGCTGTCCAATATGGCAGCCACCAGTCACTGTGTGCCCCGTCCAAATTGAGATATGCTAACAGCGTAAGACGCTCACTGGGTCTCGAATGCTGGGTCCGAAATAGAGAATATAAAACATCCCATTAATATTTTGAAATACTGATTGCACGTTGAACTGATAATATTTTGGACATATCAGATTATATAAAATATATTATTTAAGTCAATTTCACCAGCTCCTTTTTTTGTGGCTACTAGAAAACGTTAAATTCCATGGTTGGGTCATTTCTCCTGGGCAGCCCTGCTCTAAAGTTCACTGGGGATGGATTCCATTTTTTTTCTAGTTTACAAGTGGATCCATTCACTGGGGAATATTTTCATCTTATGGTAACTGTGGGGACGAACACGCACATTTCAAGGACCCCCCATGTGCTCACACGCCTCCATCTGGAAGACCCCATAATGACACGTGATTTATAGCTCTGGGAAGGGATTTTCTGTCCTGTTTTTCAGAAGTCAGAGTCCCTGTGGGTCAATCTCTTGATTATTCACCTGTGGAAGGAGTGCCCCTGTTTGGACCTACCAAGCCTCTCGAAGCGATAGGATCATCATAGATCTCTGAATTCCTAGGCACCGTCAAGGCACCATCTGGGGCGTTCGTGGGGAGCTCTAGGAAGAACTGTCTGTTTTAGAAGATCTGACCTTATGGGTTCCAACGGGATATTTCTCTCCCCTGAGGGCTCACGGAGACATCAGAAGCGAAAGCACTCACCGGTCTGAAGAACTGGGCCCCCAAACCTACTCACCTTCCTGGAAGCCACTTGGAAACCCTTCTAACAAGTTCTGACAATAAATCACTTCAGCACCCGTGTCCTGATTTTTGGCCAGATGCGAATATTTTGTTCTTTGCGGAGAAGCTCAGACGCTTGAAATCGGTCCTGGGTTCAAATCCCGACTAGCTATGTGAGTTCACCCTTCAAAGTCTCGGGGGGGAGGGGTTATCTGTAACAAAAGGACCCCCATCTCAGAGGGTGGCTGCGAAGGCTCATTGAGATGACAAATGATGCCCAGAAGCCCTCCACACATGTTAAGGGTTTTGATCAAAGCATCCTGTCAGCCTTGGTTAACGGGTGTGATTCTTGGTGAATTCCATCTTTGGGGATGAGTTTTGCTGTTGCTAGAAAGTCCAAGACAGCAGCAACTTAAAGCAGATAGAAGTTTATTTCTCTCTCACCCAATGGTCCACATCTGGGCAGACCAAGCTGCTACGGCACATCCACAGTGTGGCCCCTGAAAGAACACCAACGGGGGGAGCAAGGGAGGGGCAGCCCATCCGGAGAGGAGAAGGGGAACTTCCAGTATCCCTTAAGGTTTCAGATACCCAGACACAGCCCAGTGCCCCTCTGCTTTTTGAAATATAAAGTCGTGGGGCTGGCCTGGTGGCACAGTGGTTAAGTTCACGTGCTCCACTTCGGCGGCCCAGGGTTTGTGGGTTTGGATCCCAGGTACGGACCTACACACCGCTCACCAAGCCATGCTGTGGCGGCGTCCCACATACAAAAAATAGAGGAAGATGGGCGCAGATGTTAGCTCAGAGCCAATCTTCCTCACAAAAGAAAAAACAAAGTCATAAATAGATGAGAAATAGATAAAAGGCATTCTCCTTGCAAAAAGAAAAACAGTAATGCAATGCAAATAAGGCTAAGGTCGTTTCTGATGGCCCTCCTCCTCTATTTGGTAGGTTTTTATTTTGTTGTGAGTAGAGTCAATCTTCTTTATTTGCAGATTCCATGTTTGCAATTTTCCCCGCTCACTAGAATTATTTGTACCCCAAAATCAATGCTCCTGGTGCTTTTGTGGTCATTTGTGGATGTGTGCCAAGCGGTGAAAGATCTGAATGGCTCGATGTGCACCATTTCTGGCTGAAGGTCACACAAGGTGATCTCTGCCTTGTTGCTTCAGCTCAGGCTGTAAATCCACGTCCTTTGCGGGGGGGCGTCTATTTAGTGCGACGTTTTTTGCATTTCTGTGGATGATCTTGCTGTTGAAAACGGCCCCCAAACGGCGAGCCGAAGTGCTGTCCAGTGTCCCTGGGTGCAAGAGTGGGATGTGCCTGATGGAGAAAAAATATGTGTTTTAGACAAGCTTCGTGCGGGCGTGAGTTACGGCGTGTTGGCTGTGAGTTCAGCATTAACGAACCAACGTTGTGTATTAAACCAGACGAGCTTGAACAGAAACACACGTAAGACCGGGTTATGTACTGACAGGTTGATAGAAATGAAGGCTGCGGCCAGTGGCTGCCAGGAATGAATCCTGCATATCTCCAGAATGATAGGTCGGTATTTGCTAATTCAGTGCTTGCTGCGACCTTCTAGAACATAACGACCCCGAATAATGAGAATTGACTGTATATAAATGTACCTGTATATGAATGTATATAAAAGAGACAGCTTTCCTTCCAGGTAGAAACATAGATGCGTTATATGTTGATGTCCATACTTGTGTGTGTGTGTGTGTGTGTGCCTCACAGACGTATGTATATGCACAGACACACGTGCATTTCCTTAGCTCCGTCTGCCCTGAGGGTCTAGAAGCAGCAGCACCCAGCGGTGGTGAGCACACTGAATGCCCAGACTTTGGTTTCTAAATCTCATCTAGCGCTGAAAGGAGCCAGGGCTGTTTGGAGAAGTTCTGATTCCGGGGCTGGCACAGGGAAAATAGAAGCTGGAATATCTTGTGCCAGAAAGCAAGGAAATTCCCCCCCCCCACCCCCCAAACTGGGGACCTGTCCAAAGGGCAGAGGAGTCAGCCCGCTTGAAGGGCCTCCCACAGGCCGAATCTGGGGCAACGTGAGCATCAGGACAAATAATGCTAGTAACGGATTATCACCCACTGAATAATGGGACCCGTTGACAATACAAATCCAAGCAAATAGAAAGTAATAAATGAGTCGGGGAAGAGGGAAGCACTTCCTTACCACAGAAAGCCAACCAACCTAGGTTTGGGGGAATTAGAAAATCTCCACGTGGCAACCATTACAGGGGTGGCTGATTCGAGTTGGAGCCATCAGTGGCTGCTACGGTCGTGCTTGAAGATTTGATGAGAGGGGGGAATATTGGTGTCATCTGAGAATACCTCCCCACAAAGATCTGATCAACTATAAAGGGGGGAAACGTGAATCTAAGGTGGGGGAGCCCGAGAGACACCAACGTGACCCGGTGGTCAAGGTTAATGTCACCAGGGTGGGACCGGTCGTGCCCCCTGATACGCTGCACTGGAAAGAACATGGTTTCTGCCGTGTGGCTACCGGGAGGGCTGTAGCAAGGTGGAGGAATTTGGGGGTCGAGTGTGAAACATGACGTGACCTCAAGGTGGTGGCAGCACAGACAAGCTTTCTTGGGACGGGTGTGCATGCAGGGGAGCTGCCTCACAGCACGAAACCTTCCAGAGGCAACGGCCAGGGGCCACCACCCAGAAGGGGAGGAGGGCAAGGGGCCCCCCAGGGGAGAGGGGATGGGAAAGGGGGCTCATGAGTCTAGGTGATGCTGCCCAGCGGCCAGGTGGGGGTCTCCGGGTCAGAGAGCTCCGAAGGGCAGCGCCAGCTTGTGACTTTTACGGTTCTGGGGTTTATCTTATATATGACACGTGTCAGGTGCAGTTTCACGTGACATACAAAGTGGGCAGGCTCTAAATGGCTGAAAGTCTGCTTATTTGGGCAATATTTAAAACAACTGGATGTGTAAGGACGTAGGTTTGCTACCATCTTTCCCTTCCAAGGGTGTCTAACGTTGCAGCCTAACTTGACACGCCCTTGTGGCCCAGCAAATCATCTCTGCCAAGTTAAAAGGAGAAAACTGAGTTTGGCACCTATTTGCAAGTGAACGGCCTCAGGTGAGGTCATCAGAAACAATTGGAGCAAAGGGAGACCAGCCTCGTTAGACGGAAGGAAGGGCTGCTTTGGCTGGTGAGGGAGGCTGAGCGGGATTTGGGAGCCCAGGGGACTCAGTCATCGAAATCCTCCCAAATTATACCATTCCAATCCTCAGGTACCGCTTTCCTCAAATGCCCTAACTTTCACACAAAGATCTGGCAAGGTTGTGATAATTCAGCAACCTGCACCCGAAAGAGGTAAGAATCATTGGAGGCATCCACAGAAACGGATTCTCTGAACGTGATTTGAGGTGAGAATTTGAACTCAGAGTTTTTTTGTTTTTTGTTTTTTTGCTGAGGAAGATTTGCCCTTGAGCTAACATCCGCCGCCAATCTTCCTTTTTTTGTATGTGAGCCGCCACCATAGCACGGCCACTGACCAACGAGTGGTGTAGGTTCGTGCCTGGGAGCCAAACCCAGGCTGCCAAAGTGGAGCATGCCAAACTTGACCACTAGACCACCGGGGCGGGCCCATCAGAGCCTGCCATTTTGTAAGCCCTCCCGTGCTGTTGTAGATAGCCTGCCTACTCTAGTCCTTGTAATTCTGGCGTCTCCCATAACAATCTACTCTTCCTGTCCCTCAGCCCAGCAGACACTTGCCTTTAGTAAAAGAACAAAGGTGGAAAACTTTTGATCTGACAACTTACTATAAAGCTATGTAATCAAGACAGTGTGGTATAGCTGTGAAGACAGACGTGCAGATCAATAAGACAAAAGACTCTAGAAATGAAAGCAGACATTTACAGTCAACTTTTTTTTTTTTTTTTTTTTTTTGGTGAGGAAGATTGGCCCCAAGCTAACATCTGTTGCCAATCTTCCACTTTTTGCCTGAGGAAGATTGTTGCTGAGCTAACATCTGTGCCAATCTTCCTCTATTTTGTATGTGGGATGCCGCCACAGCGTGTCTTGATGAGCAGTGTGCAGGTCCGCACCCGGGATCCAAACCAGCAAACCCCAGGCTACCAAGGCGGAGCATGTGAACTTAACCACTATGCCACCGGGCTGGCCCACAGTCAACTGATTTTTGAGAAAGGTGCCACAGTGGTTCAATGGAGAAAGGACAGTCTTTTCAACAAATAATGCTGGAATAAAATGCAAAAATAAACAAATAAAATGCTTTGGAAACTTAGACCTTTACCTCACTTCATACACAAAAATTAACTCAAGATGTATCCTACACCTAAATGTAAAAGCTAAAACTATAAAACTGCTCAGGAAAAAAAAAAAGAGAAAATCTTGGTGCCCTTGGATTAGGTAAAAATTTCTTAGACACGATACCAAAGCAGAAACCATAAATGAATGACAAAAATTGGACTTCACCAAAAGTAAAAACACTTGCCCTCAGACGATACTGTCAAGCAAATGTCAACTTTGAAAATGAAAAGACAAAGTATTTAAGAATCATGTATCTGCTAAAGGACTTGTAGCCAGAATATATAAAGAGCTGTTACAAATCAACAACAAAAAGACAAATGACTCTATTTAAAAATGGGCAAAAGATTTGAACGATATACAAATGGCCAAGAGGCACATGAAAAGATGCTCAATGTCATCAGCTATCAGGGAAATGCAAATCAAAACCACAATGAGGGGCCAGCCTGGTGGTGCCGCTTCAGTGGCTTGGGGTTCGCTAGTTTGGATCCCTGGTGTGGACCCGGCACCGCTTGTCAAGCCATGCTGTGGCAGGCATCCCACATATAAAGTAGAGGAAGATGGACACGAATGTGAGCTCAGGGCGAGTCCTCCTTAGCAAAAAGAGGAGGATTGGCAGCAGTTAGCTCAGGGCTAATCTTCCTCAAAAAAAAAAAAAAAAAGACTGAGATAACACTTTATATCCACTAGGATCGCTAAATGGAACACCCGATAATACTAAGTGTTGATGAGGATGTGGAGAAACCGGAACGCTGCTCCGAGCTGCTGGTGGGGATGTAAAATGGCACAATCACCTTGGGGAGCAGTTTAGAAATTCCTTAAAATGTTAAACATGGAGTTACTATATGACCCAGCAACTCAGCTGCTAGGTAGACGCCCAAGAGAGATGAAAACACAAGTCTAGACAAAAGTTGTACATTGTACACGAATGTTCATAGTAGCATGTTCAGAATCACCTAATACTGGGGGGAAATCCACACGCTCATCAACTGATGAATCGGTAAGCAAACCATGGCTCATGCAGATAACAGTATCACTCAACAAGAAAATGAATCAACTATTGATACATGCAGATGAACTTACCCTAAACGGTGGAAGCCAGACACAAAAAAGTACATTGTATCATTCCACTGAGATGAAATTTCTAGCAAAGGCAAAACTATGGAGACAGGAAGCAAGGCTGGGAGGAAGAGGACGGATCGCCCACAGGCACAAAGGACCTTTTGGGGTGACAGAAGTGTCCTACAACTAGATTGTGGGGATGGCTTCACATCTGTACAAATTAAAAATTGTACTAAAAAAATCATTTTACTGTACTCTTACAAGGGGTGGATTTTATGGTTTGTAAATTATAGCTCAAAAACTCATCGGTGGGGCAGGCTGGGCATGCTCCAGGGGCCACCCCTGGTTCCCCGCTCAAGAAGGCGCCATCATCTCTACAGCAGCCGACGGTGGAGTCACACCGCCCCTGCGGTAACCAGGAAAACCGCTCACGCCCAAGAAGCTGCTGAGTCAGGAAACGGCCGGGCAAAGCAGAGCACTGATGCCACCGAGGCTGGTCCCAGAATCCCGTCGTTTCGGCCAGGAACCACCCTGGCTCTCCCCACCCCAGGACTCGCTTCCAAATCGGTCATGATTAGTGGAACCCAAGTCATGGCCAGAACCTTCCTTCCGTGGAATTCTGGGGAATAGGTTTTAGCTTTTAGCCTTTGCTCATTGGAACGGGGTTGGGATCTCCGAGCCCGGATTTTTCATTCCACTTCACTGAACTGCATATGATGCGCAATCTTCTGTGTCTGGCGTCTTCCAGGTAGCATTAAGTTCATCTGCACGTATCAGTCATTCATTTACACGGCTGAGTAGTATTCCATTTTATGCATGACCATATATATCCATATGTATATCTTCTTTGAGAAACGGCTATTCAAATTCTCTTCCCATTTTTAAACTGTTATCTTTTTATTGTGCGAAATAAGAGTTCTTTATGTATTCTGGTTACAAGTCCTCTGTGCTATTTGAATTACTACAGCTTTATAATATATTTTGATTTGGAAAAGACAAACTCTCCCTTTTTATCGTATTTTCCTTGCAACTTATTATCTATGTAAACTTGAAAACCAACTCCTCAAATACCATAAAAATTCCTGTTGGGATTTTTACTGAAATTGCATTTATATGGATTAACCTGGATTAACCTGGATAATTTTCACAATGTTGAGTCTTCCCATTCATGAATATGGTATCGTTTTCCATTTATTCATGACTTTTCTTTAGTAAACTTTACTTTTATACCTAACTATCCCATACAATTTTTGGTGTATTTAATTCTAGTTTTTGTGTTTCCATTGTGGGTGTGATTTTCCTTTTTTTAGGTGGTTAATGATATAGGAGAACATTGTTGGTTTTTGTATATTAATATTGTATCTGGACACATCACTGCTGACCTATTTCTCAAGGTGTTTACGCTTTTTACAAAGATGAGCATATCTTTGACAAATATTTTTTCACTTCAATATTCGTTCCTCAACAAGGAAATACAAATAGTTGATTATATTGTCCAAAAGATGCTTAAGCACAGTAGAGAAATATATGTATTTTCTCAGCGATTCTCACCCTGGCCTCATCATTCTGGCTGTTGTTTGAGAAATGACAAGCTACTAAGTTCAAAAAAGCTTTTCTTTTTATTTTTTTTATTGTGGCAAACATAAAATTGACCATTTTATGTTAACCTACCATTTTAACCATGTTTAAGTATACATTTCAGTGGCACTAAGTATGTTACATTGGCTGTGCATGTTCTAACACTGAGACTCTGTCCCCATGAAACACCGACTCCCGCCCCTCCCCCAGCCCCTGGCCCCCCATCCACTTTCTGTCTCTGTGGATGTGGCTCCTCTGGGGACCTCCTGTGAGTGGATCACACAGTGTCTGTGTAATCTGGCTCACGTCCCTGAGCATCACGTCCTCCAGGTCCGTCCATGTGGGAGCAGGTGTCAGAATTCCTTTTAAGGCTGAATAATCCATTGTATGGATGGACCACATCATGTTGATCCACCCATCCATCGATGGACAATGAGTTGCTTCCTTTTGGCCATTGTGAATAACACTGCTGTGAACACAGGTGTGCCAGTATCTGTTGGTGTCCTTGCTTTCAATTCTCTTGGGTATGTATCCAGAAGTGGAATTGCTGGATCACACGGTAATTCTACTTTTAATTTTTTGAAGAACCAGAGAGGGCTTTAAATGATTTCTTAGTTGACCAATCTCAACAGCATCTAATGATATTTGAAAATGCAGCTGGACACACATCTGGGAGACTATCCTATCCACAGATCGTGCCTGGTGGGCAAACGAATTCATGAACCCCCAGGCACAGCGACTCAAACTCTCCGACCTTCTGGGAGCCCCAGGTCCTGCTGACCTGGCCCTGCTTTTTGAAACATTCTGCTTCCTTGGCTTCCGTGACGTCCCACCTTCCGTGCCTGCCTCCTCTACCTCATTACTCTTTTTCAGGCTGCCTCGTGAACTCTTTCACTCAAAACCAACAATGCTGGGCAGAGACTGCAGAGTCCCTCCAGCTGCCAGACTTGAACCCAAGACTTTGTCACCAGCTCCTCCCTGGGGACTGTCACCTTGGGGCCAATGTGTGAAGGGCCTTCTCAGGTGGACCCCAGGCCCCTAAGACTGGCCACTGCAATGGGGCAGCAGACCACGTGGCCATCACGGCTTTGGGCTGTGGAATCCACAGTGATGTCACAGGGGCTGGCCACGGCCAGGAACGTTCTGCACCGTACCCCCCTCTGGTTAGAGCAGGGGGGTGATCATTGCTTAACAAAAGAAGCTGGAGACAGGAGGCGGCATGGCCTTCCTGACAACAGAGAGGGGTGCAAATGTGCTGTGGGTGGAAGGTGGGGGCTGAGCACCCAGATATTTCAGCTTCTATCAGCGAAGAGCCAGTCTGCACACTGGGTGGGGGCTGGGCATAGAAGGTACCAGAAAACAATTCTTTACTAACACAGCCAGCAAGACCCCATGTCATCTGGCTCTCACCACCTGCCTTGTTTCATTTCCTTCTATGTCCCCCATTCTTCCTTATCCTCCAGCCCCAGTGGCCTTAACCACATTACTCTCTCAGATGCTTCTTTCTTCCTCCTCCGCTGGGTTAACTCCTACCTGTTATTCAGAGAAGCCTTCCCTGACCGCCCCCATGACTGGGTAGGACCCCCTGTGTCCCCACCCCTCCACTCAGCTGTAATTGCATTACAGGAATATCTGTCTGCCCAGTCCCAGGAGACCAGACATCCTCCAGACTGACAAACTGAAATGGCAAGCAATAGGATATATTGGAGTATATGAGGAAGCCATTTGGTGTAAACCTAATTTGGCCTGACTTTGTTTATCCAAAAGGGCCTGACTGTGGCCATTGAGCATGCACTGTCTATCTGCTTAGACATTTTGAGATAAAGATGCAACTTCCCTCCCCCTCCCAACGTTGGCACCTCAAAGATTAAGCATCTTTCCTTAGGCTGGGAACTGATTGCAGCGCTCATCTGGGACCGCCCAGCTCGAGGCAACAGACCTGCCACCCTGCTGTGTTCGCAGAGACAGCAGGCCTATCTGCTGTCTCCATCAGTCGCTGTGCCCACAGAGCAGCCTTGTGACTATTGTAAAAGGGACATTTCAATCATAAGTGAAACATCCTCTTTGAGGGTATACAACCACCCTGTATACCCCCACTTCTTTGGGGCGCTCTGTTCCTTTGTGGAAAGACTCTCCTGGGTTATAATCCTCACACTTTAGCTCAGAATAAACTCACCCAAATTTTCATTTATAGATTGGTTATGCATTATTTTCGTCGACAAGCCCATGAGAACAGAGGCGCAGGGACTCTGGACACCGTCCTCACCCAAGATACTCAGTCCACTGGAGGAGAGAGCTCACGGGGCAGAGATGAAAGCCAGAGGCCGGGGGCTCCTCGGGCCCTGGGTGTGGCTGGTGGGAGGCCATCAGCGAGGCCAGTTTGACGGTGGGGGTCTGGCCCCTCGGGGATGAGCAAGGTCAGGACTGTGTGTGTGTACGGGGTCGGGGGGTGCTGCCTCTCTGCCGGGATGGGAGTAGGGGAGGGGGGTTGGGAAGGTGGTCAGCAGTTTTCAGAGGCGCCTGGTCCTCGTGGGGCCACGGCAGGGACAGCAGCCTGTTACCGAGCTGCCTGCCTGTTGGTGGGTTTGCTGCTGGGGGCATCCGTCGGTGCACCTGTCCCTGCGTCCTCTCCCGTATCTCCCTGCTCATCTCTGCCTTTCTCCCTCCATCCCTGCGCCCCCTCCTCCCACTCGCCCCCCACTTTCTCCGGCCGCCTCTGCCTCCATCAGAGCCACGCATGCCCAGCCCCTGAGCCCCGGCGTGTCCCTCCCCTCCTCTCCCCTACCCTCCCACCGGGGCCCGGCCGCCCCTGAGCCTCCCCCTCCCCGGCCCGCAGGCCGCCGCTACTGGACCAGCCGGCGCCACGGCGAGGTGCACCTGCGGCAGGAGAGGAACTCCTTCGCCGGCGAGGCGCCCCTCACCGTGCACGACATGGTCATGGGCACGGCCATCAGGTGCACCACCCAGGTCGCGCTCGGCTGCAAGCACAGCAACGGCTGGCACCTGCTCACCTACATGGAGTACTACGAGCAGCGCCGGCGTGCTGCCAATGCCTTCCTCAAGGGCCGGCCTGCGCTTCTGCGCCTGCGCGCGGCGCCGTCCCTCCTCCTGCGCCTGCGCGCCGCTCCGACCTGCCCCTCCTGCGCCTGCGCGCCGCTCCGACGGGCCCTTCTTGCGCCTGCGCACCACCCCTTCCGTCCTCACCATTCCTTTCCTGCTGCGCCTGCGCGCTGCTCCTTCCCTTCCGCTCGGGCCCACATCCCCTCTGCGTCCTTAGTTTGGCTGGTTTCTGTTGTTAGGCTGCCTGAGTTCCTGAGTTCGAATCCCAGCCCCGCCAATACCCGCGTTTTCCTGCTCAAATTACTTAGCCTCACTCATCAAGATATATACATTAAATGCGTGGCCTTGTTTGTTAAAAAAATTTACATAGCCTCACGTGCCTCAGTTTCCCCATCTGTAAAATAGGGATTTAACATATAAATAGGTAGGTATTTATATATGTATAATATAAAAATGTAAAAATTTATATATGAACATACCCACTTAACATTTTATTTTTAATTTAATATAAAATGTATTCTTTTCGTATTGGCATGTTATATATAAATATATAAAATAAAATATATATAAAATATACATTATATATAATGTGTATTATATATAAACATAAAATTAAAATATAAATATATAAATACGTATATTTTATATATAAAATAAAATATAATAGCACATAGCACAAAGGTTTGCTACAAGGATTCAGTGAGTTTACAGGGATCACATGGCCCCTGACACACACAAAGGATTGCATCGACGTTAGCTGCTTTTCTCACGATCGTTATTATGAATTGTGCCCCTTCTCCAGTGTGGCTCATTTCTTTAGCGAGGGGGCTCGTGATCACCCTGGCTACCCCCACCCCCGCCCACTCTCCATCACAGCCCCTTTTAACGTTTTCTGCCCAGCTCTCAGCGCCACCTGGTGCCCTGGTTGTATCGTTGATTTCTTTCGTCGGGCGGTTCCATGAGGGCGAGGGCCCCGACTGCCCCGTTCAACTGTGGGCCCCCAGGATCGGGAACAGCAGCAGCCCCCCGGATGTGTGTTCAATGAATGAACGCCCATTTTTCAGATTAGAAAAGGGGATAAGAGACGTCAGGGACTTGTCTGATCAATGTAATAGATGAATAAATTATGTGGTAAGTAGATGGGGATCCGGAGAAAACTGAGTCAGGGAAGAGGGTAGATGAGCCATGAGTGGGGGGTGAAATTTTAACATATGGTGGCCAAGGAGAGCCTCCCTGAGAGACGGTGATATTGCAACAAAGACTTAAATGAGATGTGAGCTAGGGGAAGGTGTTCCAGACATAGGGCACAGCCGTGCAAAGGCCCTGGGGCAGGATCATGCCTGGCGTGTTGGAGAAACAGCAAGGAGGTCGTGTGGCTGGAGCAGAGGGAGGAGGGGGAAAGAGGGAGGAGGGAGGGCAGGGAGGGGACGGGGCAGGTCGTGAGAGGCCTGCGGGGCTGCAGGGAGGACTCTGGCTTCTCCCCTGAGGGAAGGGGAAGCCTGGAGGGTTGTGGGCAGAGGAGGGTGGGCCCTGACTCAGGGGCTCCAGGGCGCCCTCTGGTGGGAGCTGCGGGGAGAACAGACCGGGTGGGAACAGAGAGAGAGTTGACGGTTGAGATGAAGATGGTGTCGACCTGGATGGTAGGGGGGGAGGGAATGAGAAGTAGATTCTGAAGGCAGAGGTGGCAGCGTATCTTGACGGGTTGTGTGTCCAAGAGAATGAAAGGTGCTGAGGGTGACCCAGATCTCTGGCCTGTGCCGCATGCAGGTCGGAGCTGCCGTGAACTGGGATGGAGGGAGGCTGGGGCGGGGGTACCACCAGCCATTCCATTCAGGCCACGTGGCATCTGAGACGTCTCTTTGACGAGGACACACGTGGGCAGCTGCATCCCAGAGTCTGGCGTGGAGGGGAGAGGCCCCACCCGGATCAGATGGAATCACCCGGTGCCAGGACCAATGGGTGGCGCGCCATCTTGAATTTTCAAGTCAGATGTTGGCACAAATAATCACGCACAGAGGCGGAGCTGGAGCCACGGAGATGTTCACCCCAACACTTTACCTGATAAAACTGGGGGGAAAAAAACTAGAACCCACCTAAGTATCGGGGGGATCATTAAATCATGACATTTCTGTACTACACCCTATTGCAAGGGTGTTACATTCGATACCGTAGAGAAACATTTAAAGACAGGGGAAAATAGTCAAGATGTGTAGTTTCGTGAACAACGATAACCTGTGCACAGTATTGCTTTGGTTTTGTCAAATATTGCTGCGTAAAAATGCCAGGGGACATTTTGCTTATATTTTTCTCAGGGTTTATCAATCTCAGTCCTATTGACATTTGGGGCCAGATCATTCTCTGGGGTGGCGTCTGTCCCCTGCATGGGAGGCTGTTCCTCAGAATGCCTGGTGCCTACTCCCTCCATGGCAGCAGCATCCACTCCCCCAAAATACCTCCAGATGTCGCCAAATGTCCCCCCAGCGGGCAGAATCGTCCCCATTGGGAACCCCTGCTCTAGAGGAATCTGTGGTGGCTTAAGGATGGGGCGAATGGGTTATTTTGTCTGAGAACAGAAGCACAAATGGTCCACAGAAAAGTGGGCGCCCGGGGTCCTCAGCCTGAGGCTCCTGGGCGGGTGGGGCGGGCGCTGGCTGAGCGTCTGGGTCCCTCACGAGCGCCTCCTCCTGCAGCTGGGCCTGGAGTGCTTCCACGGCGTGGGGATCATAGGCCTCAACTCGGAGGAGTGGGTCATCTCCAGCATCGGGGCCATTATGGCAGGGTAAGAGGAACCTGGGCTCTCCCCAGGGTACATGGAGGCAGGAAGCTGCCAGCCTGGCAGAGGCACATCCCCCCTCTGGAGACTGTTGGAGTCCCAGCAGAGTCCCCAGTTCAGGGAGCAGAGAACGACTGCCATTTAGTCTGTGCTCAGTGGCATTTGTCGAGGGTCCGGCCGTGGGCACCACCCAGCTCACTCTTCCTGACATTCTCCACCTGGTAAACTCTTATACATCCCGTGAAGCCCGGCTCCCATGCCCCCTCCTCCAGGAAGCCTTCCTTACTCCTCAGGGTTCCCCAGCACTGAGCCCTCCCTCCACCCGTCCAGACCACTGGGGACCCCATGGAGGGCAGAGTCCAAGCTTGGGCTGTCCCAGAGTCCCACCTTCAAACGGGGCACGTGTGGGTGCCGGGGTAAGTCTACCACACTCTATGCCCCACCTGAGGGACTTGCTGTCTCCCCTTTGGGCAAAACAGGCCTCCTGGGAGCGCTGCCATGTACCAGCAGGCCCTCGCCTCTTGGCTTCCACTTCCAGAGGCTTCTCTGTTGGCATCGTGTGCACCAACTCCCCAAAATCCTGCCAGATCATTGCCGAAAGCTCGGAGGTGAACATCTTTGTGGTCGACACCGACAGGCAGCTGCGGAAAATCGTCCAGGTCACTGACGCTGGATCCCGTTGTCACCCGCAAGCTCGGAACTGTGGATTCCACGGATGGGATGGTCCCTGAGGCCCCTGAGAAGTGGCCCCCTAAGGAGTGCGCTGTTCCTGCCATGTGGCTCTCCCACCTAGCGAGGGAGTGGTGAGAGATCCACGGGCACATGGGGCGCCCGGAGGAGGTGGACATCTGAGTCCTGCCCACCCCTGTTCGGCCGCCCCAGGCTGTGTACCTTTTCTTCCCTCCCTCATACACCTATAACCCTATAGCATAAGGAGCCAGCGATGGTACAGCCAAGACCTCGGGGTCAGTGCCTGCCTGTGCCGCAGCCTCAGCAACTCCCTGTAAAATGGGGACCCCAAAAGGACCCACCACACGTGGACAGAAGCATGCAGTCAAAGACACCACGACACACCCACTTGGATGACTCAAATTTAAAAACGGACAATACCAAGTGTTGACAAGGATGTGGAGCAACCGGAACGTTCCTTCACCGCTGGTGGGAACGTGAGATGGTGAGGCCACTTTGGAAAACAGCCTGGCAGTTTCTTATCAGGTTAAACAAACACCTACTCACTGGTCCAGCCATTCCCCTCCTGGGTGTGTACCCAGGAGAAATGACAACATCCATCGGCACCTGCACGTGAATGTCTGTGGTTGTTCCATTCACGGTCACCAGGAACTGGAAACAGCCCAAATCTCCAACTAGGACCCAGTTGTTTTTCCACAATCTGGAGAAGAAAAAGTGGTTTATCCACATCCCTGAGCATCAGAAAGGATTGGACGCTCGAGACATGAAATGACGTGGCTGCATCTTAAATGTGCTGAATGGGAAGACGGGAGGCTGTGTTCTGTGTGATGGCGTCTACACGCGGCCCCAGAAAAAGAAAAGCCGTGGAGCAGAAATTAGATCAGCGGTTGCCGGGTTGAGAGGAGGGGGTTGGCCACAAAGGGGCCTGAGGGAACGTTTGGGGATGATGCGAATATTCTGGGTCTCGATGAAGGTGGTGGTTGCACCACCATGTATTTGTCGAGGTTTATAAAACAGTCCATCTCAAACAAAGGTGACCTCGGCGGCGTGGAAATGATTCCTCAGTGAATCCAACGTGTGCTCCGGTGGTGGGAATGCCAACTGGTGCAGCCGCGATAGGAAACGGTATGGAGGGTCCTCGGAAAATTGAAAATAGAACTACCCTGTGATCCGGCGAGCCCACTTCTGCGTGTACCATGCATCCCAAAGAATTGAAAGCGAGTCTCGAAGAGGTGTTTGCACACCCGTGTTCGTAGCGGCATGGTTCACAGCAGCCGAGAGGGGGAAGCTGCCCAAGTGTCCATCAGCGGATGATGGATCAACACGATGTGGTCCATCCAGACAGTGGAATATTCTTCAGCCTTGAAAAGGAAGGAAATCCTGATACACGCTATGACACGGATGAACCTGGAGACATTTTGCTCCGTGAAAGAAGCCAGACACAAGAGACCACATACTGTGTGATTCCTCTTGTGGGAAATGTCCATTATAGGCAAATGCATAGAGACAGAAATAGGATTAGCGCTTACCAGGCAGTGGGGGAGGGGAGTGAGGGTAGGACTGCTCATGGGCTT